AAAAAAAGCCATGCAAGTCATCTGTCTACACACGCATTCCTATGCGATAGGATCATTCTCTCAAAACATTGACCATAACTTATTGTCTATGGTATTCATGTTCGCATCATTTCACATCACCCTCTGACCTGGAGACCTCGGTACAAGAACCGGCACGCTTGTTTACTTGAAGTTCTCTGGGTGCAAGATACCAGCCATGTTACCTGCCTTAACACGCTTGAGGGTCAAAGCAGCAATCAAAGCTGCACCGACACCAGATCCATCCTCAGCAGCCAAGATTTCAATAGGATCAGCCTCCTTGGCATTCTTCTTTGCAGGCCAATCAAGAATTTCACGGAGTGCGGCAGCACCACGAGCCTTGAAGTGGGGGTACTTGTTGAAGACAGATCCGTCAGCTCCGACGTGGCAAGTCTCATAGTTCTTCTTCTTGGCAATGGCAGCAACACCACAAGCGGAGAGACGGGCGGCACGGGTACCAATCAACTCGGCAAGGCGACGGATGAGCTCGAGTTCTGGAACAGTAGCTCTAATGCTGAGCTTATTCTGGAAAAGATCAGCAGTCTCTGACAAGTTCTCCCATGGGTCCCTAGATAGATGTTAATCATTTAATCATTTAATCATTAAAAGATATGAGTGTATGGGGAACATACTCTTCAACCAAAGACAAGAATGAAGAGTCCAAGGTGTAAGCCTTTCGGAGTTTTTCAATATCTTGACCCTCAAACATGTGGATATCTTTGTTGTCATGAAGATCAACGAGAACCAATCTGAAAAGTTCTCCAAGGTAAAGACCAGCAATCATCTTCTCGAATGCTTGCTGACCAGGACGTGGAGAATCTTTATCAATAATGATATCGTATGGAGTACGGGGGAGAACTTTGTGTTCATTATCGAAAGCACCCCACTCGCAGTTGATTGCCATTGGGGTGTCAGGAGGTAGGTTCATGTGTGCCAATTTTGGGATAGAGCCGCAGTTTTCCATGTACGCAGCGTTGCAACCAGTTCCGAAGATACAACCAATCTTCATGGCTGTGTCAGTATATGCGGAAGCAATCAAGGTACCAGTGGTATCATTGATCAAAGCTGTAAGCTTAATTGGAACGCCCTGATGAATTCTTAGCAAGCGTTATCTTCTGAATGCTACTAAAAAACTTACTCTCTTGGCAAGAGCTGCCTCGAACATTGGAACAACGTTTTCACCTTCGACACCTGCAATATCGAAGCCCTTGGTCCATCTTTGCAGAATACCCTCATCAATGTAGTTTTGGGTAGCTGGGTAGGAGAACGTGAAACCGAGACTTAACGTTCCAAGATTCTCACCATGATGATGGGATTCAACGAATTGCTGAAGACAATCGGCGATATATTCCCAAAGTTCATCTGCTTCACCAGTCTTGAGCTCTTCTGGCATGCGGTATTTTGATTGAATGATATCAAACTCGGACTTCTCATCAGTCAAGATGATTTCGCAGACACGCAAGTTGGTACCTCCCATGTCCAAGGCGAGGAATGTACCAGTTTCATAACCATCTGGGAATGCCATGCACCAAGTTGGGTTCATGGGCTAAACAAAATTAGTCATAACTCATACTTCGGATCCGAAGAACATACAATACTTCCACCCTCTACAGTTAGACCTGATTTGAAATTAGCACAGCGCTCGTATTGTAGTTAGAGAACACAAGAAATACCTTTTGTAAGCTCAGAGACAAAGTGTTCAGTGATCTCCTTGAGTTTCTTGGTGTCAACAGTGAACTGTTGCTCAAGCTTCTTGATTTGTTCCAAGTAATTTTTTGGAACATCAGCCATGGAACCTATGTGATGCCATGAGTTAGCAAATTTACTCTCTATTCAAAGGCTATAAAATTATGATCAAAAATGTATTCTGTCATGGAGATGGACTCATGCAATAAAGTTTTTGTTGTTTTGCAGTCCATATCAAGGGCTGGAGTCTATAACCTCAACCGTACAGCCAAGGGCGACATAAACAACATCAACCATTATTGACAATTTCAATGAAGCTCTGCCTAAGAAGATCTTGGTGTTTTTTGAAAAGAGTATCAAAACCAAGACACCCTGGTGCTGCTCAGAAAGCACACGCTAAAATTTTAGTCCAATCTAAGCAGAACACTTGTCGGGTAGACTAGACTAGACTATAATAATAATAGGCCGAGTAAAAATAAAGACAGGGATCAGGAGATATCAACCTTTGCGTGGTAATGGTGTTTGGAGCTCCTCGAGAGGAACTGAAGATAGAATAGGGGATGAAGTTGTCGACATATTGCAAACGGTTTATCTAGAAACTTCGTAGATTTGAAAGCTTTGAGTTCTTGAGTGTGATAATTTGACTTTGAAATGCCAACAGCTGGTTGCTTTCAAGCTGACAACGCTTTTATGAGAGGAGGCATTGAAGGGTGTATCATAATAGGTTTATCAAGCTGCACAGCCTGTCCATTCACAAACAAAAAGTGAATGTAGATCACATTCTGAGATTCTCATCGAAACCGAGGAGGCCGAGCCAAAAGGATTCTGAGTTGACAAAGGGAAAGTTGAAGTTATACATACCCTTACGGGAAGGGGGCTTTCTTGGACCTAACCCCACCATGTTGAAGGATTTTCAAAGATAGATTCGTAAATAAAGGGTATAAAAGAAGAGTTGAAGAGAGTCTAGGATCTTAGGTGCGAAATGGAGGATATAAAGCAATACAAGAGCAGAGAAATAAAGAAGTCGCTGTTGCTGATTTTACAAAAGTTTTCTTGAGAGAAAGGATTGAAATTGTGTTGGGTGAAACTAAATAAATGGGTTGTCTCCTTCGGACTTCACTCGACTCCCCGCCGTGACTTCATCATAGTGGATCAGATTTCAGCTCAACCGCCCAGTAACAGCTTGATTAATAAGCACGGGCCTACTCATGATTACCTACTTGCCGATAAGAAGACGAAATTAAGCGCGCTCGCGATTATTGATAAGTGAAGTACGAAATGAAAAGAGGGGAGTGGGGAGTGAGGGAGAGGTGTGAAACTAGTGAACATCGCGAAATGGCGTCTAATTGTTCAGGACACTTTGGAGCAACGTAAGCTTCAATATTACCGGGGGACAGCTATTTGGGAAGGAATAGGAAACATTGACAACACCACGTCTTAGAATTGCTCACATTTCAATTTATTTTGTAGTGTGATTCGATTTCTTCTCATCAGGCTGGCTTCCAATACTTCTTCACAATGAAGTCATTCACGATTGCGACTGCGGTCCTTTCTCTTGTATCGACAGCTTTCGGCGCAGACAAGAGTAACTTAACAAAACCACTTTCTTCGAAACAAATTCTTCCCTCGAATTTCAAACCTCCGCAAGTCTTCAAAAATGCCAATTTAGTTCATCATATCAATCTCGAAAAAAGTTACCCAAAAGAGTCAATTAATGTGGTAATTGAGAACATTGCGAACGAACCTCAAGATGAATACTATCTGCCATTCACATCGAGGCAAATGGAGACGATTGGAGCTCTAGAAGTAAAGGATAGAAAGGATGCCGACTCCGGACCATTCGAAGTACGAGCAGTAGAGGTAGACACAGACAGGTAATTTATGTTCGGACTGTCACTCGAATCATTAGCTAATTATTCACAAGTGACACTCAATTCTACCTGGTCAAGCTACCACAACCCCTCGCACCCAAAGCACAACAAACAATTGGCATTTCATATTCATACCTTTCGGCTTTGAACCCTCTTCCAAATTCAATTGCACAGAACGAGAACCAATACGTCGTTTACGAATTCTCCGCATATGCCCAATCATCATACGTCACTTTGAAGCAAAAGACTGAGGTTAAATTCCCAACTACCAATATTCCAGAACACACCATTATCCCAGGAACTGATGGTGCATCTGAATCGCCACAGAAACAAGGTTCCAAATACACTTATGGTTCTTATGGAGAGGTACCGGCTGGTGCAGTGGAACCAGTCCGAGTTCGATATGAGTTCACCAAACCCCTCATTCACGTCTCTAGATTAGAGCGTGATATTGAAGTCAGCCACTGGGGAGGCAATGTTGCTTTCGAGGAACGTTACACTTTGACCAACCGTGCTGCCAACCTTTCTCAACCTTTCTCTCGCACTCTCTGGAACCAAGCCGCATACTATGCAACCACTCCCACTTCTGCCATCAAGGAGCTCAAATTCCCATTGAAGGTTGGAAGTTTGACACCATACTTCACTGATGTCATTGGCAACGTCTCTACCTCTCGTTTCCGCAGCAACAAGCGCGAAGCAAATCTTGAGATCAAGCCCCGTTACCCAATCTTCGGAGGCTGGAATTATCCTTTCCGTGTAGGATGGGATGCTGATGCTAAAAAGTTCTTGAGAAAATTAAGCGCAGGAGAACAATATGTTCTCAATGTCCCATTTTTGGAAGGTCCAAAACAAGCTGAGGGAGTTGAATATGAATTCGTTGAACTCCGTGTCATTCTTCCAGAAGGAGCCGAGTATGTATCCTATCCTTTTTTGTTTATAACACAACTAACCCCTCTCTCAATAGAAACGTCCAATTCTCCACTCTCGTCGCTACCGCCTCCTCTACAATCACTCTCCACAAAACTTTCATGGATACTATTGGCCGTACAACACTCACACTTCATTCTCATAATTTGGTTGACGACCTCCGTGATCGTGAACTCATTGTTACATATACCTACCCCTTCCTTGCAGGTTTCCGCAAACCTGTTGTTATTTTCTGCTCCGTTTTGAGTTTATTCGTTACAGTTTGGGCTGTTGGTACTTTGAATGTTAGTATCAAGGGAAAGAAGGCTTAAGTATCAGTTAGAGAGAAATCTGAAAAAAGATGAGGCATCTAGCTGTAAGAGTTTGATTGAAATATATGTATAGATAGATAGCAAGATATGTAAAATGAGAAAAGTCTTGATTGTTATTCTTTCGCTTCGTTTATCATTCCCTACACGTTCAAAGAACATGTGTTTTAATCCGCGAATCTAGTGATCGCTATATAAGCTTAAAGGTGCCAATCTCTTCAGGCAAATAGAAATCCTTTCCACCCATCTCGAATTCAGTCTCTCCATCCTCTCTTCCTCTCAGATTCTCAAGTCCCTTCTCAAACAAATCGCACTGCTCTCCACTAAAGTCCACCCTTCCCAATCTCCTATACTCTCCCCGTTTCCCCGTACTCAAAACACACAATCCATACACCAACTTCAACCCATTCATCTCATGTCCCTCTCTCTCAAACTTCGCCTTCGCAACCGGCAAAAAACACGCGCGTGCAATATCGCCATACTCCTCTGGTTGATCGACCCGTACATGTACCACATGACTAAACTTCTCCACGAAAATCCCCTCGAGGATTTCGACATTCTTTTTCGGTTGGCCGGAAATATAAATGGTTGGCTCTTCGCGATTCCAAGACGGGAGATTGGCAGGCCAATCGGGGGGGTCCATGGAGAGGGGATAAAGAATTCCGCGCAAGATCAAATGCGCGGAGTGGATTCTTCCGAAGGGCAGAGCGGAATCGAGTGGATTTACTTGCGCGGTGAGCAGCTCGATCATAGAATATTTACTTGCGAGGGAGATAGGAAATCCAGGCTCGATGTCCCCGGATACGGAAGCCCAGGACCAGGAGGGAGCTTCGTAGGAGGCGAGCCGACTAGATTCAGTAATGTGGTATGTGGGATTTGTTCCGACGAGTTCGCGGGCTGCGAGGTTGGGGAGCGGGAAGGGATGGTTGGAGCGGAGGCCTTTGTGCACGCTCCAGAGGAGTGTGCCCGGGAGATGGCTTCGCCAGATACCGGCGAGGAAGGTGTCTTGGAGGAGGAGGGAGAATTTTTGGGCTACCCCTGCGATGGCTACGAGGCGGTCTTTCTCAAAAGTTACTTCGGAGCGTCCGTAGGTTTCGAGGACGCGGTACCAATCTTGTATATGTGTATCTCCTTCTTCTTTCTTATCCTGCTGACGTCCAAAAACTCGAGCGTTCCCAGGAAATTTAAACCCCGTGTGTTTATTGAGCCTCACCTGTTTCGGCAATCCCAACGGAAAAGTCTCCGAAGCTTCAAGCGTTCTGCATTCCCAAACCATCTGATCGAAAGCAAAATGCAAGATTCTCGGACTAAGCCATCTTTCCTGCGTTATCCAAGCCCGCTTATTGCACGGAGAACTATAGATTCTTTCTTTCCAGAACTGGAAATCGGTAATGACGAATTCGTGATTGGGGACATTATCCCAAGTCGACTTCACGATACAGGGATGGATCAGCTCTGGATTTCGCACGGGGATCAATGTATCGATGGCGGCGGTACCGCAGAGATTGAGGAGAGAATGTGCGTACACGTCACCCATTGTTTGCGCTTCTTGACTCCAGTCTTCGGCGCAATCTTGGATGATGCAGAGGGAGTCGATCCAGATATAACGGACGTGGAGACGTCGGGCGACTAGAATCGCTTCTTGAAATCTGGAGGGTAGGATATCGGAGGGGATGAATTCTTTCATTTGTTCGATGTTGGATTTTTCGAGTCGCGCACTGATACCTCCTTGGGCGGGCCAGCGATGACTGAGTGTGAGATAGGAGGGGTCTTCTGGTGGTGTGTCTTTGGTTTCTATCAATCTGCAATTTGCAGGGAAATGACCAGTTGACATGTTGAACATCAGAGCTGTTAATTGCGCTACTGGGTCAGGACTGATGAGATACTGTACGTCGATTAATCGCGTAGGATACCATGGAGCTTCTTCAGTCGTGGGGTTACATTTAGGATGATTTTCAATACAATCATTGGCCCATTGCAGCATTGTTGTCCAGGTATTCTCAGAGAAGATACTGAGATCCGGTTTTGGCAATTCTCGAAGTGGTGCAAGACATTCTTCCGCTAGGTGTTCATTGTTAACCTGCTAATCGCTATACAAAAACTTCCTCACATACCATTCAAAACCGACACATTAATAGTTTTCCATCGCGGCACCTCTCTATCCATCTGTGCATTCAACTCCACCATAATCTCAAATCCCTTATCACCATCACCATTTCCGTCTCCTTGTTTCTCATTATCCCCTGCGCTTCCTACAGACTCCTGATCTAACCCCTTAACCCTATACCTCGTCCCATTTCTAATAATATGGAGCGCGCCATCTCTCAAAAATAACGGATACTGTCTATACTCCTCCGGCGATTTATCCCTGAAAAAATGTCTCCAGATGATATCACACAATTGGCAACCATTTATCGCGCCATCACAAAGAATTGAGATATCAGAATGAAGAGGACGGATGATGTCATCTATATTTGACGAGGGGGTAGAGATTAGAGGAGGCCGATCCCCGGAAAATATAGTACTGCAAGTTGCGCATAACATTGTATTTTTCCTGGTTCTGGATGAAGATCTTAGGAAGAAGAAGGATTAAGGATAATAGTGAGATGAGGGGTCATTCAGCCGCAGATACACATCTAACAATTTCGAGCTTGGCGCTGACCGAATTGTAACCACGTGATGCGTGTGTGAAAGTCTCATCGAGGTATATCTCGAGATCAGCAGAGTGGTAAGGCTATGAGTATAGTAAGTGATTTATAGTAGCTACTAGGATCCAAGATCACACGCGTTGAAGTTGAAGAGGTGAGAATATTCGTATCAGAAGAAAACGTATTTTTAGCGAGAAATCGGGAGGGGTAGGGAGGGGGCAAGCTCGCAAGACAAGGTATTAAAGCTGTCTACTTGGAACCGTACTGCTAGATGAACCATCCAATGAATTCCTTTCTCTCAAACAACCCTTCCAAATACTTCAACCAAAACCAAAACTATCTTCAAATCCTCAAAAGCATCTCACACGCATCAAGACACACATAATATTCTTCATAGCACTTTCTTCACCTCGCTCACCTCTCTCGCCTTCCACCTAACACACTCGTTTCTCACTGCTTATCCCGCTCGACCATTCATCTAAATAAGACTTTTGGCCAATGATGTCACCTGCACGAAGATCAATATACCTTGCAATTGAATTCATATGATGTGATAGCGTCCTCGCATTAACCAGAAATTGGCGCGTTGTTATTCACACTCGACCTCGCACTATTCATTCAATTTCATTTTCTCATCGTTTCATGGAACTTGGTTTATACAGATTAACTATATACGAATTAAGCCAATTGCCTATATAGATACAAATTTTCAAAGGCGCCGTCTCACTTGCTCTGCTTCCTGAACCCATCAATTACCGCCTAGCCCCGACGTCTATTTACTAGCATCAATCTTGATATAGACAAACTATTTTGTACACTTTGATTGCACATCTTGCTCAAACCGCTTCTCTCCGACTCACATCAACAATTTCATCATTCCTTAGTACTCATCTGGAACCAAGCATTGACAACGACCGCCGCAAAGAGCGATGCGCACAATATACTCGGTCCCCAAGCATCATAGTACTTAATGTTTCTCCTCTCCCTAATGCTATTACTTCTGTACAAGTACATGCCTACACTGTAGGCCAAACTCATAATGGCGACTACGGAAAAGAAACCTGCAGCAATGAAGGATACAGCAGTAGGTTTTGTTCCAAAGTTGACGAGTGTGGCTGCAATTGTACCGATGTAGATGGAAAATTCGAGCTATAAAAGTGTGTTAGAAGGTTGCATGATCATCTAAACAGTATAATTGAGGAATATACATACCCAAGTTAAGAATGTTCTCTCCGCGGCAAAATACACCTTTGGTTCGACACGAACAGGTACGTGAATCTTCTTTCCAGGCGGTGCCTTGAATTTCTTGGCCACGATTTTACCACCCCCATTTCGAAGAGCTGAGAATGTAGCGTTGTTACTATCCATGGGATCTCTTGGGGCAGGGCTTATAGAATGGATTTTTCGAGATAGATGATGTCCCGCAGTTTTAGCATAATATTTAATGCCTTCTGTTACGAAGGCTAGACCGCCAACTCTTCTAGCTTCCTCAAATGGTCGATTGTCGATGGAATCTTCGTCATCAGTATCATAGATATAGTCCTCTTCCACCAATGGCATGCTGGCAATTTCTTCTTCGATATCAAGACTATTTCCTGTTGCTCCATGGTTGCGTCGTCGTAGGGTCTCGGGCGCAGTGGCAATGTTCCCAGCCCCAGATTGATTGAAGTTGTAATCTTCATCATCAGAATCATCGTCGTCGTCATCGTCACTTGTGGAACTTGGATTTGAGTGACCTGGTCGTTTGATACCGAACGACTGAGTGACTGGCTTTCGGATGTCTACATCCATTTGTGGCATCCAGAATGGTATAAGGTTTATGCGAGTTGGGAAGAGAGTCGCGGTACCATGAATGAATTTTGAGAATTTGGGAACAGCTTCAACAAGATGACTAGCAATGAGTTCTCGTACCCATTCCGGTGGTTCTTGACCAGCCTGGGTTTGTAACTTCACTTCGAGAACCGCATATGGAAATCTTTCAACATCTTCTGCAGGCAACTGACTAAATGGATAATCAATACCGATATCCATTCTTCGCCAATTATCGCCAGCGCGTCTTCTTCCGTCAAGATTATCTTCTCTGACCATTGTCAACTCGGTATCTAAAGAGATACGAACTCTTGCGTCGGCGGGCAATTGGAAAGCTGTGCGGTTATAGAAAGATCGACAGACAGGTACATAACCCTTCTTGATAACCGAGTATTGAACTTCCCTAGCAAGTCTCTCGTCCTCCTCGATGGCTTTCAATGGCTTCTTGCCCTCCTTGCGAGCCTTCTCAAATATAGTAGCAGGTAGCATTTCTCCCTTCATGTATGCATTGACGTTCTTTTCTTTGATCCCAAATCTTGCCTTTACTGACTTCTCTCCCGTCCAATCTTCACGATGGGTTTTTCTCTCCACAAATATATGTTCATTGTCGACATCGCCATACCATCTAAGACGGATTGCCTCAGCTCCCTCACTCTTCTTGAGTCGACCCTCGTATAGGTCCCAAGTCTCGGGATTGTCGTAGTAAATCGACGTGATCGCAGAATCCTTCGCTTCGAACTCCTTGCTGGCATTGAAAACAAGAACCGGTAGATGCTATAAAAAGAGTAAGCAGAGATTATGGGTAATTGCTAGATTGAATTCACCTTCAAGATGATAAGCTTCAGCTCGGTAATGTTATCCGGGTGCACCCAATATTTAGTTGTTTGTCGAATGAAACTGGCTTGACTTCCACCTGCCGAGCTGTCTCCTTGCACTGGGTTTCCTCTTGTTCTGACCAAGTCATACAATTTGGATAACTTAACGATGTCGGCATCATAGTTGTCTTTGAAGAAGGGTTTCGCCTTGAGTCTTGTCGCAAACACAGGTTTTAGCATCCATTTGGTGGTTTTCTAGTAATCGTTAGTTGGGCGCGATAAATGTATAATCAACAAACTTACGTCATGTTTCTTGATGATCTTCTGAAATCCAGTGTAATTCAGTTGAACGAATTTGGCCAAATCGTGTACGTCCGCGATAATGTCACTCAAGTCTTCCTCCAATAGCATGAACTCTTCTTCGGTAGGAGCATCAGAATCTACTGGTCCATTGCTACGTTCGGGCCCTCTTGAATCCAATCTTCCCACGACTTCGCTAACCTCTCTATCCGCGTTCGCAATTCTCCGACTGATTTCGATGGCCTTCAATTTTTGTTTGGTATGTACCTTGTCCAACTCTGCCTCCATGAGATCAATGAACTCTCTTTCATTTGCTTCGGTCCATTTTTCTCCTTTCGAATTCGACTTATTTTTCGTCGAGGGGGTCTTGAGCTTCTCTTTCAGCTCGTCATACGCAATGTAGTACCATTGGTACTCTTTGATCACACTTGATCGGAGTTGCTCGCCAAACTTCATGATGATGGTTCCTGGTTGGAAGTTGTAGTGACCTGGAGGGCCGTTGGTTTGTGATAACCAACGTTGAGTATCTGCTTTCAAATCGTGAACAATTAGCATTTATGAGCAGGGGAGATGCCTCATTATCTGCACAGGAGCAGATAATAGAATGGATCTGAATGCGAATGGATGTAGTGTAAGGGGCGCATAAAGAAGATATACCTGGTTGAACACAGGAAACTGTGAGTTGCGCTTGATTCGAGGAAAGAACCTGTGAGACAACAGGGTGATAGTATTCGGTGGTGGGAGTCAATTCTTTGCAGATTTGTTGGTATTTTATTAGATTGTGCTAAAAAGTTGCATAATTAAAGGTAGGAATTGTGAATTTTACAACAGCTGAACAGGTAGTTTTGCCCAGGTAGGTAGGTAGGAAATGTTTATATTATTATTAGTGAAAGTATAGAGTAGTAATAAGTCGACCTGGTAATGAAGCAAAGCTTAAGAGCTTCATTGACCAATCATAGAGTAGTAGCGCGGAACGTGTGAGAGTCAGCATTAGTACTCAATTTGGTTTAGCTTATTGTCATCTGTTCTCCTCTAGTATAAAAGTAGAGTGGAACATCACGTGCATCTCTAATCCGGATTCTTATCTCATCTTATCAATTTCATCTTTTCATCCATTGCATTACGGAGGATATTGCCGACGCAGGTAGGTGTATGTATTACATGAGATTATTGTCCTAAACTGATTGGTCTAATGTCACATGTGTACTCAAACTAGAAATTCAAACATGGGATTGTTGAATTTACTCCGCTTCTATCATTTGATGTGATTGACTTCGTCTTTGGTACTTCATCCTCGAAACTCAGATTCTTTACTTCTTCACTACTAGTTCATTAGTCGAAGTTCTTCACGGTTAAAGACTTTGAGATCCGTCTGTCGAATTTATCAATAGCTGGAGAGTATCCATCTGTTTGAACTCAGGCGTTTCAGCTCGATTTGACTTGACGAACTCAATATCAAATCATTACCAAATCGAAGCACATTTTGTTCATTGTACCAATGGCCGCAATTACTGCTGCGCCAAACACACCGTTATTAATCTATGGTTCCGTCATTCAGTCAGCTAGTGTGGACGATCTTGAATATGTCGAACAAGGCTTTCTAGTTATCCAATCTGGCAAGATCCTTCACTATCAGAAGAACGTCAAGAAGGATGACATTCCTAGCATACTTGAAAGTCTTGACCTCAAAGCCCTTCTCCCCAGTGTTCGCCATCTGAAAAGAGGTCAATTTGTTATTCCTGGCTTCGTCGATACTCATAATCACGCACCTCAATGGGCTCAGCGTGGCTTAGGGCGGGGACTGGAGATTCTGGATTGGTTGGATCAAGTTACCTTTCCAAATGAGGCGAAGTTCGAAGATTCCGAACATGCTCGACGTATTTACAGTTCGTGCGTTGACGGATTCATTAAGCAAGGCATCACCACTGTATCATACTATGGGTCTTTGCATGGTGAAGCGACAAAGATATTAGCAAATATTTGTTTCGAAAAAGGGCAGCGAGCTTTCGTAGGGAAATGCAATATGAACCGCAATTCACCTCCTTATTACACAGATGCATCCGCAGAATCCTCTCTTGAAGTTACAAGGGACTTTATCTCCTACGTTCGACACATTGATCCCAATTTTGATTTGGTCAGCCCTGTTCTTACTCCTCGATTTGCAATTTCTTGTACCGATGAACTTCTTGCGGGCATTGGACAGATAGCGAAAGCAAATCCTAAATTACCCATCCAAACTCATTTTTGCGAGGCGGAGTCCGAAAAATCTACTACGTTATCTCTGTTTCCATCGTTTACAAACGAAGCGGATCTATATGAAAGTTTCAACCTCCTCTCTAAGCGTTCCATTCTCGCACACTGTACCATAATGACAGACTACGAGATAGAGCGTATTGCTGCACTTGATTGTGGGGTAGCACATTGTCCAATTTCTAATACCACGGTTGGTGGTGGATTCATGGCAGCACCAATTCGCGAATATCTTCGTCGTGGTATCAAGGTTGGTCTAGGAACTGACAGTGGTGGTGGATTCTCTTCCTCAATCTTAGATGCTATGCGACAAGCTTTCATAGTATCTAATGCGAAAGATTTCCTCACTAAAGGTGCTGATCCAAGATTGTCACTGGCTGAATGTTTCTATCTTGCTACGCTTGGTGGTGCTCGAGTTTGTTGTCTGGATCATGAGATTGGCGACTTTTCCAATGGAAAGCAATTTGATGCTTTGATTATTGACACAGAAAAGGATGGAGCAATGACTATGGTTGATGACAAAGACACACTTCCAGTTCTTTTCGAGAAATTTTTGATGAGTGGAGACGATCGAAATATTGTCGAGGTTTATGTTAAAGGAAGACAGATTAAATTCTGATCGAATTTCCATGCCATTCTTAGGGATGAGATTTTTTTGATGGTCATTATAGTATATTCAGAGTAATGCGATACATACCCAATACTGACCAGCTACATTCTTTGAATTATTGTTTCCATTCTGCATTCCACAAATCATGAATTCGGCTGACAAAGCACCTACATAGCCGCTTGACATATGTACCCCACGTGTCGCAGGCCCCAATGCTACAATGACTTTGTACTTTTGTACTCTCCACACTCTTTAGTCTCCACGTTTTCTTGATACCCGTGTGTTTTCTCTCACTACCCACATAGTAAATCTTCAGTATGATCTCTGAACCTTCTCCAGTCCAGCCATCCAATGCTCCCATGACTGCCTCCAAACTTTCGCCGCTCAGGATCTTATGCCTGGGCGACTCTCTTACAGAAGGGTATTCGCAATTTGGAACTAAATTCTCCCCGTATAGCAAATGGATGAAAGAAGTTTTGGTGGCAAAATGGCCTGATAGAGCAATTGAGGTTATCACAGATGGAGTCAGCGGAGATCTAGTTACTCCGCCCGGAGGATTTAAAAGAAGAATGGAGAGGCATTGTAGGTTTTTATCTTTGTTTGTGGGCTGGGAAGACTGAGTGAAGACATCTTGGAACACTGAAGGAAGGAGAAGAGATCAGATCATCGAGTGATGAATTTGAAGCCAAGCTTCGTAGTTTGGACTGAATCTGGTCATTCATTGATTTCATGTACTCTTCTATTGGCATCACGGGACATTTCAAGTCCTAGGGTCCGTCTCAACAAGCTTCATACTTGATTTAGATCTGACCCACATTTCTCACATCTGAATCTATATTCATCAATCAGATTTACTGACGACCTTTCTCAAAGTCCCATCTAACCCCCCAGTAACTCACACAATTCTTCTCGGTGGTACCAACGATTTAGCATACAACAGACCCGTCCAAACCCTCTACGCTGTTTTCGAGACACTCGTATTTACACCCCTTAGCAACTCTTCAAAAGTTTTGATTATGACGGTTCCTGAATGTCATGTGAGGTCTAAGGTTTTAGACGAGAAGAGAGAGGAGTTAAACGATATGTTGGTTTATAGTTTGGGGAGAAAGGATAACGTGTATGTTTTCCTCTTCCACGTCGGCTCTAGTCCTCTCCCCCCCCCTCTCTCCTCCCAATACTGCATTCATCTACGTTCAAATGAGTTCTAGAACGATCGGCAAGATACGATAAGGACGGGTGTAACATACTATATGCTAATCACCCTCAAATCAATAGTAGCACATTTGATCTCCGCGGTGCGATGCCCTACCACAACATGGAATTGGAGAAACGAGAACGTCTCTGGGACGACGGGTTACATTTCACAGAGGAAGGATATAAGGAGATTGGAATTATGGTAGGAGAGAAAATGATTCAGGTTATTGAGGAGGTAAAACCTGAGAAGGAGATTTCATTGTCTGGGAGAGGGACCATGGGGATCGAGTAGCGGAGAAAGTACATTGGCATTGAGAAGGTAATCAGGGGGGTTGGAGTCTAGGAATCGTAAAATGATTGATATCTGAGGTAGAAAAATGGAAATGCGAATTGATTGTAACTTGGCTGCGACCAGGTGGTCATTAGGATCGCTACAAATAACGAACATGATAAGATAGTATTTAACCAATCAGTGCATATAGGTTTGTCTCCCTTTTATCTTACAAGAATTGAAGAGTAATGTATGTGGAAATTCAAAAGTCACCTAGGTGAGATAGCTAAGAAATATTCAAAGATATAACCTTATGAAGATGGCAGGATTACGACCGGCCAAAGGATTTATGACCTTCGCGATGTTCATGAAGAGGGAAAACATAATTTAAATGAAGTATGGGAGATGTCCGAGTTTCGAGTGTTTTGCTTGAGTGTACGCACTCTTGTGATAGTAAAGACTAATAATAATAGGGAGGGAAGTGAGGAACCCAAACGAAACCAAGTCGTTTAGTTGGCTAGTCTCTCAGCCACACTCAGCCACTTTGCTCGAAAAACCACTTTACGCGTAAAATGGGACGTGAACGCGACATCAGGTACCTAGTGGTTGCGGCTGTTTGTATTCTATCCACTTTTCTTTTTTACTCCGTTGTTTACACTTCCGTACCAGGTCAAAGTCAGATCCACCACAACAAACAAATTCTTTTGGCATTGGACTTGCATAGCGTCATTAATTAGAACTCAAAATGTCGTCCCCTGCCGGTCGTCGGCAGCGCAATTCTCAATCTGCGACTCCTAGGCGTACATCAGCGAGGAATTCACAAGCTGTACCAAGTAGTCCACCAGATCCCGCTGCTGCTCAACTTCAAAATGAAGCAGCCTCGTCACAAGGCGTTACAGGTACTCCTCGGCGGGGTATAATTCCATCGTCGTCGCCTATGAATTATCGATCTTCTCCAGCAGATGCTGCACGATTTAATAGAGAAATCAGCTCACCCCTGAGACAAATGACAAACACCCAGACAACAGAAGATGGCGATCGTACTCCAAGAGCAGGTGCTAGCGCACTCATCGGTGGTAGGTACTACGTTTACAAATTAATTGATACCGGCTGACAACCATAGACTCTTCACCCATCAGATACGAAGCAAGTTCTAGTCCTGGTAGAGCATATGCCAATGATCCTCAAACCAATATTCCAAGTGATAGCAGTGGTCTTTTCGTTCGCTCTTCTCGTTCCCAAGGTCCTGGGTCTGCGGTTAATAATTCGCGAAGAGGAGATATTACTTCTGACAACCTTAACACACCCCGTGCGAGAAGACGTATTTTCATGGATGAAAGTGGTCGAATTGTAAGAGATGTTCCACCTGAAGATGCGGAAGCTCCATCGTTCTCGAACCTCGATCCAACAACTTCAGATGCGCAAGCAATGGGAGGAAACTCTACACTTTGTATCTGGGGTACGAATGTTTCTATAAACGATACGTTGTCCACATTCAAGGACTTCCTTCGAAACTATACCAAAAAATATCGAATGTGGGGTGAAGGAATGTCAGAGGAAGACACCCAAGCTGATCCAGAATCGAATTCAAAGGAATACTTGGAGATGATGCAAAATATGTTAACTCTTGGAATCACAAGTCTCAATTTAGATTTTGGCAATCTTAAGGCTTACCCTCCAACCAAGAAACTTTGGCAACAAGCACAGGATTACCCTCAAGATATTGTCACTCTCATGGATCAAGGTATTAAAGATGTGATGTATGAGATCGCGGAAAATCAAATGGCAGTTCAAAGGCAATCACAAAGCTCCGCTGGACAGGCGTCCGGAAGAAGCAGGATTCAAAGTTCAGAACCCCCTGTTCCTAGTTCTGAGAGAAGCGAGCCAGAAGCTGCAACACCACGAGCACAAGATTCTAATGAAGTGGACTTGTGTGCGGAGGTACAAAAAAGATCATATAGAGTTCGTCCCTTTGGATTGGACAAGACTATCAATATGAGAGAACTCGATCCATCCGACGTCGATAAGATTATTGCTATCAAGGGTCTCGTTATTCGAACTACGCCAATCATTCCAGATATGAAAGATGCATTCTTCAAATGTTCTGTTTGCAATCATACTGTCAAGGTTGATATTGACCGTGGTAAGATTGCCGAGCCTACAGAATGTCCTCGTCCGGTTTGTAAATCTCCAAATTCCATGCAAATTGTACACAACAGGTCTGGATTCATGGACAAGCAAGTTATTAAACTTCAAGAAACTCCAGATTCCGTTCCTGCTGGTCAAACACCCCATTCCGTCTCAATGTGTGCATATGATGAGTTGGTGGATCTTTGCAAAGCTGGTGACAGAGTTGAGATTACTGGTATCTTCAAGGCTAGTCCAGTTCGTGTCAATCCTCGCCAGCGAACTCTTAAGAGTATTTATAAAACATACATTGATGTTTTACATATTCAAAAGGTTGACAAGAAGAGAATGGGAATTGATGCTTCGACCGTTGAGCAAGAAATATCCGATCAATTAACAGGCAACATTGAAGAAACTAGAAAGGTTTCCGAGGAGGAGGAAGAAAAGATCAGAGAAACAGCTGCAAGACCTGATATTTACGAACTTCTATCTCGCTCCCTTGCGCCTAGTATTTTTGAGATGGATGATGTTAAGAAGGGCATCTTGCTTCAATTATTTGGTGGAACTAACAAGTCTTTCGAAAAGGGAGGAAGTCCAAAATACAGAGGAGATATCAATATCCTATTGTGTGGTGACCCTTCTACTGCGAAATCTCAGATTCTTCAATACGTGCATAAAATCGCTCCTCGTGGTGTCTATACTAGTGGTAAAGGATCTTCGGCAGTTGGTTTAACAGCATACGTCACTCGAGACCCAGAAACGCGCCAACTTGTTCTTGAATCCGGAGCTCTTGTTTTGTCGGATGGTGGTGTTTGCTGTATCGATGAGTTCGATAAAATGTCCGATGCTACACGATCAGTTTTACACGAAGTCATGGAACAACAAACTGTCTCTATTGCTAAGGCAGGAATCATCACCACTTTGAATGCCAGAACAAGTATTCTGGCCTCTGCAAATCCAATTGGAAGCAAATATAATCCAAACTTACCAGTACCTCAAAACATCGATCTACCACCTACTTTACTTTCCAGATTTGATCTTGTCTACTTGGTCTTGGATCGTATTGATGAGACTGCTGATCGTAGGTTGGCTCGTCATCTTCTCAGTATGTACCTAGATGATAAGCCACAGAGTGCATCGGGAGGAATGGAAATTTTGGTAAGCACATCTTTCTCAAATATTCACAAGTATAAAGCTAACAAATTCAGCCCATCGAGTTCCTCACTTCCTATATCTCATACGCTCGTGCAAAGTGTCAGCCACGCATCAGTCAAGAAGCATCTACGGAACTTGTTTCCGCTTATGTTGAAATGCGTAAACTGGGTGAAGATATTCGTGCCGCTGAACGTCGTATTACAGCCACTACTCGTCAACTCGAATCCATGATTCGTCTTTCCGAAGCTCACGCCAAAATGCGTCTTTCTGAAATCGTCACCAAAGAAGATGTTCAAGAAGCCGTTCGATTAATTAAGAGTGCGCTCAAACAAGCAGCTACGGATGCGAGAACGGGATTGATTGATATGAGTCTTTTGACAGAAGGAACATCCGCAAGTGAGAGGAGAAGAAAGGGAGATTTGAAAAATGCGGTATTGGGAGTAGTGGATGAAATGACGGGGCCAGGGGGAAATGCTAGATGGACAGAGGTGGTGAGGAAACTTGGGGAACAAAGTAGTTTACAAGTCGATGCGGCGGAATTTGGAGAGGCGGTTAGGGGTTTGGAATTAGAAGGGAAGGTTATGATTCTTGGTGAAGGGCCAAGAAGAAGTATTAGGAGGGTTACGGGTCAATCTTAGACTAGGAATGGACGGGGACTGGTGTGGGTAGATGCATTGATGAAGATGATGTGTATGGCGTTGGGACTTTGTTTGTTTGGCTACGTATGATCTGATATGATATGATATGATAGTTGAGTAAAGGAAAGAAAGGTATTCATTGATTCATGAGTAGAAAGATTTGCAAATGGTCAGTAGGTCAGTAGGTAGTACGAGATGAATAATAAATATATGATTCCCTGGGTAGAGAGAGCATTTCTGAATCTGTTCCATTTTGTCTCCTGGTGCATCTACGAGTATTAAATTGTATCTACCTAGGTATAGGTAAGTTACAACTTGTCTAATATTTACGCATCTGGGTGATTAATCAGTATTGTAAGATTAGTTTATAGCGGCTTGAATGGATGTGAAGGAAAATAATGTAGGTAGGCATACAGGTAGTCCTGGGGTTCTTTATTGAGTAGTAGGTAGGTAGGTATATAGACTCTCATGGGAATCTTTTAATATGATATGATATGATATTATTATTATTATTATTATGATTATGATTATTATTATCACCACTAGGTTAGCGCGAAATTTTTCAGGCTTTTTGGATATCTGATATGTATCTCCTTCGCTAGGAGAGAGAGAGAGAGAGAGATGGGGGAGGGGGAGAGGGAGGGTAGAGGGTAGAGGGTAATATCTATTACTATTTCAGTTTTCAGAAGATGAGATTTTAATGTAGATAGATGCCTATCTAGATAAGTCTTACCTATATAGAGGAAATATTATAAATATATTCTCCCCTCTCTCCTCTCCCCTCTCCCCTCTCCCCTTTTTCCTTTTTCCTCTTAAATCTTTATTATTTCTTATTCCTTATTTCTCACCTCCACCATCTCATCTCTCTTTTTTTATATAAAATCTCATATTTATATTTCAATTCATTAATTAAATCTATATCTTTCTACTTATCTATATATATCTATAGCTAGATATGATATTATATTATATTATATTATAATCTACACCTCCTTCTTTTATAATAAGATTATATATTATTCAATGAGATGAGATGAAATGAGATGAGATGAGATAAGCTTCCGCTTTATAAATTTATCTAAAGATTAAATCTGATATATTATACTATAGATACTTATTATAGATGACTATAAGACAAAGACAAAGACAAAGATAAAAATTAAAATTAAAAATTAAAATTAAAAAATTAAAAAATTAAATCTACTCGGATAATCTGAATCTCTATAGTATTTCTCGAGCATTTTATAGATTATCTATGTTATATTATATCACTCTACTCTACTCTACTCCTCTTAAATTATGTATACTCTTTCTTTGATTCTTTCTTTAATTCTTTCTTTAATTCTTTCTTTAATTCTTTCTTTCTTTCTTTCTTTCTATATAATTATTAACATAATTTATTCGATTGATTTCTCTATTAATAAATCTAAAAGTTTAGATGGATAGATAGATATAATCAAATAGCTGTTCGCAATGTTAGTCGATGATTTGGTATTTTTGTATACCTACCTACTTATCTATTAAATATTATACGAGGTTAAAGTTTTGAGGGTTGTTGCAATTGTGAATATGTTGTTTGTATCTCCGGCTAGGTGAGGTACTGTTATTTTTCCTCCTGATGGGGTATTGATATATTATAGGTTGGGATTTAGAAGTTCGGAGTCGGAAATTAGACGTTGGGAGGTATGCGAGTGTGAGCTGATGGATGGTTGGCTAGATTTAATTTATCATCTCTGAATCTGAGGGCGAGATTGTCCAAGGATCTGCTTAGTATTGAGATATAGCCGTCCGAGGAGCCTGAAATGCTATGTGTGTGTGTGAATATGAGGTAGGTGTGGTTTGTGAGTTTGAAAGTATGAAGACTTGTACCGAGTGACTCTCACACCTCATACGTATCAGAATAGTACAGTCTTCTACTGTGGCACAAATTCATCTCATCGGATCAAATCAAAGAGAAACTGCCTCGTCTCTCACCCCAACACTAAATCCAGCAATTTTTCCTCTCTCCCCCTTTCCCTTTCCCTTTCCCTTTCCCTTTCCCTTTCCCTTTCCCTTTCCCTTTCCCTTTCCCTTTCCCTTTCCCACACTTCCTTCACCACGCACCCATTACCCCTTCGATACGCAATACCATTTTCCCACTCCACCCATAACACATGATAACAATCTTGACGCGTCGTGTGGTCAGGACCCCAATCTTTGACTTCTTTCTCCTCCTCGTCACTCTTCGTGTTGACGCCAAACCATCCTTGAGAAATAGCAACAAGTTCAACGAGAGTCCCAGTCGTGGCGTTTTGCGTAAAATGAGCTCTATCACTTTCACACATGAGTGTTAGGAAACCGACAACTTCTCCGCTCGAATCTTGAAGCTTGACGTTTGTGAAATTTTCATTGTCTTTGAGTTCAGGCGAAGATGAAGACCGCTTTTCTGCTTTCGTGGAAATATCTGGAACCCCATGTATGAATGTTCGCGAGGTTTGACAGTAAAGGAATTGCGTCTACAGCTGTACAGGATGCTTTTTTTTGAGTCCAGAACCGGAACTAGATATTTGTACCATCTGTCAGGAGAGTTTGAATGCCAATAGGCATATTCTTGCCCGTCACCCGAATACGCAAATGTGTTTAGATGCGCAGGGTTACCAAAATCCCAGCCAAATCGAGTGCGCATCCATCCGTTGGGAGGCGTTTGTGTGATGTCTTCGGCTAGAACTTTGTACTTGTACCAAGTCGACGCAATTTTTCGTCTATTTATTGATTTTGGCTGGTCCATTGTGTACCATGTGGTCATTGTGTACCATGTGGTAAGAGGTTTATGAACACCTTTTATATATTCATCTCTCTTCCACAAAGAAGCTTCAAATTCGCAATCATCTGTAAAACCAGCGCCTACTTGCCATCCAAGAAACGACCAGCTCGGAAGCTGTGACATTTCTTTCCTGATTGAGTGCGGTCTCTCTCCAAAACCAATTGGATTCCACAACAAACCAACCTCAAAGAAGAGTTCAAGAATACCATACAACAAACCGCCTTCAAATATCTGGCTGAGTCCCATTGAATACCAGAAAAGGTCGCTAAGGCATCATCAGGAAATGCGAGATCTTTCTGATTGAACTCCCGTAATAGATAGTTCACGTTCTTCACATCTGGAAAAGTGGGATCTGCAAATAATTCTGGAGGTAAAAGCGGATCGATGATTCGCGCCCTGTATAGTTTTATATCGGGGATCAATTCCTCACTCCAAGTAGACGCGCTGCATTCCCAATAAACAGTCCCATTTTCAAAGACAAGACGTCGTTTGGCACAAAGATATTCTTGGTGAGTCCAAGCGCGTGAATGATATACACGATTAGGTAGTCTTTTCAATTCTGCTTCTGTGGTCGATCAACTTTATTGGTGGTCCCATAGACATCACTTTTTGTTTGAAGTCTCGTTGGGAAGTAACTCCCTTGAATCCTCGAAGTCCATGGTTGGCGTCAATGCCATCGGTAGTTACGATTGTGATACCTGAATGGAGTAAGCTAAATTCGAACCACCGAGGTAGGATCTCCGATTAGAAGAATCAAACTCACAAGAAGTGGTGTATATTCTAGCCATAGAATTCAACTCGGCTTGCAAAGTTTCCGCATCATCTTGAACAATGCATAATGAATGTATCAACCCATAAGTATCGCTCTCCAATGAGTCGAACAACATCAACAGCATTTCTGATCGTCATAGGTAACTGATCTGCCACAGATTCTTTCGATAAAACTCCCCCTTCTTAAAGCCGATCGATGTTACTTTTCTCGCTGCAAAAGGCACAGTTCCCCCCAAACATAGCTCAATATAACAAATCTCAAATACTCACGACCAGGTACAAGACATGCAGCCACAGTATCAACCAACCACATCGGCTGGATATCCGTCCATACGTGTGAGTTTCTCAGAATACTCACATGCAGTTCCATGATGTTTGTTTATCACACAAATTTTTCCAATTCAGAATAACCCCGTCATCCATCCACACAGGATCAAGCATACGCGCACGTCTCGCATGTGGATATTCATCATTCTGCTCACGAACGAATTCAAAGACACGTCCTAATGAACCTTTCCCGTTTCGACTCATTCCAAGTACTATGTATGATCTCCCTTTGAACACATGAACTTTGAACTCGGAGAGAGTTTGAATTGCAGGGCTATCCGGGTCAAATTCTGTGATCCATCTTCGGTGTGGACAGACATTCCGCATCGATTGGTGAGGAAACAGTTCCTCATATGACAATTTGTTGTCGAATACCTGTGTTGAAAAATTCAATAATCCGTTCACATATTAACCTTACAGTGTATATATCATCACCGTTTCGCTCATAATAAATAAGTAGTAAATGATCTCGATCTGCTTGGGCCGTCATCGAAAGTAGGATCACCATGTAGTCTCTGAATTACGTGTATAAAATGCATGTGATACCTATGGAAAGTAAGTTGGATAGATAGTCGAAGGCTACTGATCATAGATTGCAAATTTCTCTCCGAGCGCAGTGATACCACAAAATGGATACCTATGAATGCCAGCAAAGCTTGATTTTGGAAAGATGCCCTGAGGTGATGTATTGCTGGTATCATGTGACACAGCTGGACCAATCAGTTTGGGGAATATGTTTTCTTCATCATCGTCCTATCTCATCTCACCTCATCTCATCCCTCCACTTTACTTCACCCCTCCAAACCTCTTCAAACCTCTTCAAACCTCTTCAAACCTCTCCAAACCTCTCCAAACCTCTTCAAACCTCTTCAAACCTCACCTCATAACATCACATCTCATCTCACCTCCTCATCCTACCCACTTTACTAAATCTCACCCCCTATATATACATCACTACAACTACCTACTACCTAGGTACGTAGAATTCACAAACACCAAGATACCCAAATACTCAAAAAGATAAAAAAATCACCACATCAAAATCTCTCAATTATCCAATTCTACAATCTGCTCTACATTCCCCTTTTCCCCTCCTTCTCCTTCTCCTTTTCCCCCCTACCCCCTACCCCCTCCTTCTCCTTTTCCCCCCTACCCCCTCCTTCTCGCTTCCAACATCTCTTTCCCACACTCCAATCTATTACCACACCCACACACACCCCCTCACCACAACTCACCCCCTCACCACAACCCAACTCAACCCAACTCAACCAAACCCAACACTAATACCTCCCCCAAAATTCCATCTTTTTATTCCCCCCTATTTTCCTATACGTTTGTCCCATTTTCCCATTTTTCCTTTCCAAACGCCATAAAGCAAAAAGACCACTCCACACCACACCAAGCCAATCAAATTAACTACATCGAAAATCTTCCACTATACTTACTACTAGGTAATTCAAAATAAAATATAAATGTACTGTAGACCGATAAATCTCCTTCATACATGCATACATACATAAATATAATATGCATCCATCCATTCGTCCATTAAATACAACCACCATCTCGAAGCCCAGTGCTACAATAGAAATAGCATTCCATCATCCACCCATCTAAAGCAAGAAATCTCTCATTCGATTTCAATACCCTCGTAACCAAATCCTCACTCACTATCCAGCTGTAGTCAAGACATAACTTGTAATAGCACTCATCCTCTCACTTGTCAACTTTAATCCAATCCTCAATAACTCCTGAGCAACTTCCTTATCCTTTTCTTGTAGATCCTCCCAGTCCTTTTTATCCATCAACCATGCCACGCAATCTCTTTCCGCCACAACTGTAGCCGTACGATCAGTTTCCGAGAAAAATGGTAATTCTCCACATGTCGTTCCAGCAACTATACTTTCAAAGTAGCGACCTTGAGGTAATTCATAATCAGCACGAAGGATACCTTCTTCAAGAAGATAGAAACCCTTTGCAGGTTCGCCACGACGGTAAAGTGTTGTGCCTGCGAGATATTCTTTACGAGTAAAGAACGGAATGACACGGAACCAGAAATCTTCATTTTTATTGGTGAGACCTTGGAAAGTTTGAAGGATTAAGCGAAGGGGTTCTTTGAAATTAGAATATTTAATATCAGGTGCGGTAGTTTCTTCCAAAGCATTAGTAGCCATTCGGAAAAGTTGACTGCGTCTCGGAGAACTGAATTGAGTATCGAAAGAATGTGAGAATGATTTGCCGCGGCTTCGACTTGAGGGCACTTCCAGATGATCAGTTGCGCCATTGTGGTTGGCGCGAGCTTGTTGACTGGCGTAAAGTGTTTTCAATAATTCGTTTTCGCAACTCTCCAACGCAGAATTAAGATCTTGAAATAAGGTCACTTCGTTACCATCATCAATCGCTAGACCTTGGCCAAGACCAACGGATCTAAGATGACTTCCTATAGGACCTTCGGGATCCACACCGCTAAGAGATAAAGTGACACCCTTCTTGCTGAAGATTCGATTCAATCGTAAAAAGGCCTCGGCAGCGGAATAATCAATTCCTGTAACATGGTAGAGATCAAATATCAAGAAACGTATTGGTCTTTCGGTAAACGCTTCATCCTCAACCAAAGCACGAATGCGTTCCTCGACACTGACGATAGTACCAAAGAAAAGATATCCAGCTAACTTTGTGACATGAATTTGCTGGCCCACGTCTCGAAGGTAGCGAGACTGAGTAGCGTTCCTACGAACAGTAGATCCAGCTATCTCACCTGAGTAAGATGCTCTCACTGCGGGGATTCTAGATGTCTGGACTACCAAAGATACAAACGCAAGACCAATACCAAGGAAGATTCCAGCAACGAAATCATAGATACCCATGGTAATAACTATTATGCATACCTAAAAGGAGTTAGCTTTCATCTGAAAGTGGCAGACTCAAATGTAATGAGAACCCGAAGAACGTTAAAACTTACTGTCAAATACTCAAGGGGCTTCAACTTCTTCCTTGGTACCCACACAGCCTCAACCAAAAGTTCGAAACCAAGCACAAAGATGAGAGCCCCAACCATCATAACCGGAATGTAGCCGATTAAAATTAGTCCATACATCAAAATTCCAAAAGTAGCAGCAGCAAGTAGAATACCAGCTAAACGATTACCACCTGATCTCATGAATAGGATGGAGTTGGTATAGACCAAATAATTCTGAACACTTCCTGCAAATCCAGATAGCATATTGGAGATGCCATGTGCAATTAGTTCTCGATCCAAGTTAAGATGATCCTCACCAACGTTGATGGCCAATGCCGGAACATTGATAGGAACATGCAAAAGTCCAAAAAATGTCAAAGCAAACATAGCAGGGACCGTTTCGAGAATAGCATCCCAACGAACGAGGTGGAATTTGTACAAGGTCCAGAAATACCACCATGGTTCATCAGCTTCAGGACCTTCAAAAATCCAGCCATTTCGACGTAAATTGGGTATTTCGAGTTCATCCAATGAAAGGACAAAAAAGTAGAATACTGCTGGAATAGTCATGATAACGGCGGACAAATAAAATTTCGAGGTAATTTTAGTTTGCGACCAGACAATGAAAAGAGCAATGGAGAAAGGAATGACCCATAGGGCAATTGTATCTGGCTCGAACATCTTGTGTAGAGTGTTCATGTCATAATTCAAATTTCCATCCAGGCGTGCTGTAACCTCAAATCCAGTCGCAATGAGGAACCAACCAACCCCACCAATGCATCCAATGAGTATATGTCTAGGAATAAATCCAACGATGTAACCGAAGCCACAAGTTCCCATGAGGAAGAATACAATACCTGTTAGAATGGAACTAATCGCATATGACGTGATAGTTGTCGCGATGACGGCTTCGGGATTATCTTCGCCAACCACTTCCATTATCGTAAACGCCATTTTATGAAAAAATGGCACAACTTCTATCATTTCACTACCAATACCTCCTTTGAATGTACTCATACCGCATGAGAACACCAATTGCGAAATTATTGTACTCACGTAGAATATAGAGATACCGGCTGCACCAAGTTTTTCGAAAATTGGTTGTCCTAGAGGAAATAAGATCTATAGCAAAGGAACATTAGCATATAATACTTTTGATCTTCATAAAGGGTTTCGGAATTTATAGAGGAAGAATTTGCGATGCAGTGATGAAAAGGTAGAATGATAGGTGCGAGTAATGGCTGGAAGCGAACTCCAAAATTGGAGCCCACGTCACCATGTCTCGGAATCGCGACAAACTGTGTGAAAAGTTTGAAAAAAAACATACCATCCCATATGATAATGCATCCAGAATATTAAGCAACATTCCCAAAAGTACTGATGGAAGAGATTGAGCGGGTGCAATAACACAATTCTGCCACATCGCCATTCTATCCCAGCGCTTGGGGTTGAAAGCAGTTTCGACAACGACTGTGCCTCGCTCCCTGGTTGATTTCAGAACATTCCGTAGCTTTGGCCAAGTTGGATTTCTTGACGTCTTTAAACTTTCAATATCATGATCCCCTCTTATCCAATCTGGGTGAGAATGTGAAGATGAGACTTTGGACAACAAGGGTGTACGTTCTGACGAGTCCATCTTGACGCCCTGCGATGTAATTATGAGGCGGCCGTCTCTCGAATTGGAATCGCCTTGTTCACTTTCAATGGCCCCATAGCCCAGCGTCCCATTTTCATTCTGCAGTGATGTACTAGGAGGAGAAGTTCTCAGCATGTTCGTTATGGCAGATGCGCTATGTGGAAGGCTGCTTGTGGAGCCCTCTTCTGGGGTAACTGGCTCAGACACTTCTTCTATGGTTTCGTGACGTGGTTGTTCGATATCTCGATTTGATCTTGACTCGTCTTCACCTCCATTGAAGTATGATTCGAGGTGCATCTGATGGTTTGTGCGGGTTCGGGTCGGGGAAGGAGGACCTGGGGCTGGTGTGTCGGACAGGGCATATGACGCAAGTTCGGCCGTATCTTCTCTAACGCTGCGGGCATACTGTGCGCTGTCTACGAGGACTATGACGATATCAGATCAGATTCACTTTCGATAAGCGCATCGGAATCTACCCGGTAGTACTTACCTGGATCTCCACGATAGGAGAGATGAACGAAAGAACGTGTAGGTTGGTATTGGTGTGAAGCGCCGGAAGTATTAGTGTGTGAATTCTGCTGTGCAGATTGACCTCGAAAGGAACCGTGATTCAAATCGGATGGCAGATTCGAGAGACCGTCTTGCGAAGCTGAAGCATGAGGGATCAGACGGGGACTTGAGTATGATGAGACGGAATCTCCACGACGCCGGGATGGCGCAGAGGCCGGTGAGGGGAATGACATTATTTCCAATTCCAATTGCTATGTACAAGCTAAAGAGTAAAGGGATGGAAGGTATGTGTATATGTAGATGTATGTGTGTGTATGTGTGTGTTGTATGGTAAGCTATATTCCCAAATCCGTATCTGCCTCACGCTCGCAGAGCGCCCAAGCAAAGAGTACGGGGAAGAATAATATAATGATGTAAATGGAATTGGACGAATGAAAATGAAATATGGAAAAGATTGGAAAGTCTAGATAAGATGTTTGCTACTAAATTTTTAGTTTCCCCTAGTGCAATTGTAGATTGATGGGTGGAAAATCTGGGAATTCCCTTGTATGAGAATAATTGGGTTGGAGGTGGAGTGGAGATATCAAATTGAGTGAACAAACGAAAGTTTATTGTTAGTTAGTGAGGAATCTGGATGTTGAATTTAGAGCAGGAATATAACATGATATAATACATTGAATAGAGGTAATAGTTAAAAGATCTACCTAGTAGTATCAATGAAGGGTTTCCTAAGAAGACATTGAGAGAATGACAAGATGGTATCAAAGAAATGTATGTAGGTAGGTATGTAAATGTAAATGTGCATGTTTGCGTGCTCACCTACCTCTCATTGCAAGAATTTCTTTTTTTTTCTCTGCTAGGGGAAGATAGCTTTTCCTGGACCTTGAAGACTGGGGATGCATCATGCCTCGGACGCATGGCACTATTATAGTTTGCATATAAAGGAGGAGAGTAAGCCAATGACAGTTGATATTCTCCACTTATACCTTGACCACATAGACGCAAGTAACAAGTCCGTGAAGCCGTTCACGCCGTTCAGCTATCCAGCTATCCAGCAAGTTCTCTCATTCTTTCTCAAGCTCGTCAAGTCTCACACACACCTTGTCGTCAACCCCTCCCCTGATGAAATTTCTCCTCTCGATGAAAATTATCGGATCAATGATCCATCACCATCCGTGGCCCAAAAGGGTTAGAAGGTGGGGTCAACGTCACTACCGGAATGTTTGCCTTTGGCCTTTATGTTACAACTTACCACTTTTCGCCTTTGACATATTGAACCAGGATTCTGAATTCGGTATTCCTTTCTCACCAATCATGTTATGTGTACGAGTATGGATTCAAGTATTGCAGGTACAGTACGAGAGAGAGAAGTGTTTGAATTAGATATAAATTCTTCTAATAACAATATACATCGCAAAAACACTTTCTCTCTCTCCTATCTATCTACTACCGGTTCATTCATACCTACCTAGTACCTACCCATATACTCCTCGAGACATCCATTCGATTGATCAATCAATCATCTTACAATTATCCCTCATCAGTCAATACCTACTATCTATCTTCACTCAGTTCAAATATCATGTGACTGCACCCATCGCTATTACCCCCTCATTTGCATGTGGTACCTACCTATGGTGACGGTGGTGCGAAAACGGCTTCTTTTACGCCACAAACCACAGCCAAGTTTTGCACCATGCTCGCCATCCAGGTGTTCTTCCATTCGCTTTCGGTTTCACGATTCCGGTCTCCATATATTTTAGTTGAAAGAGTACTCGAAACTAAATACAGATTAATCAACATCTATCTATCCATCCATTCACACTAGGTAGAGTAGACTAGATACTACACACTCCATACATTCCACCCCACCACAAACTGACATATCCATCATTAATCAATTCAATTCACATAAAGGTCCATTCTAAGCACCCCATCTACGTCTCCCCCTCCTGAATAAGCATCTAGTAATCTTATTATCATTATACGACAGCTCAAAGCAGTAGTGTCCCCAGTATAAAATCCCCAATGTAAAAATCAGCGTTCCAATGCCAAATCATCTTTAGGTAAAGCCAAGGTATGGAATCATAATCTGGAGACGACCATCGACCTGTCAAACCGATGCAGGCCGGATAATCAATCTACAGTGAGTGTGACTGCAGCAAGTAATAAATCATAGCATTGTACGACCCGATGAGAATTATTCCCCTCAAGAGCCACCGTGCCATTGAAAATTTTCATCAAGTCCAATAGAACCCTTCAATTCAACTCGAGGCATGCATCATCCGGCCATGAACTTAATCATTCAATACGAATATCTCCTGCCAGACTGATACATTCAAAAAACCCCTTCCATTCAATTTACCCCGCGAAAAGCTTGGTTACCGAAAGTTTTGGTCTTGTATTTTACCTGATCCTCTACAATGGTACATCAATTCCCCGCGTGGTATTTATGTAGTAATAGAAATAACAAGATATTTTCGTTCCAATTGCACAGTCCTCGTCGTCTTTTCTTACGACTATCGCCATTTTTGGTCCGAATGAGAATAGGGGCCCCCACAAATCCACATCTTTCCGGCACCGGCTGCACCGGGTCTCTCCCCCGTGGACTGGGTTTCGTGGCAGAACACAAAGCCGCGTTGTTCCTGTGTGGAGAGTATGTGCTTCTGGACCTCATGTCTTCAACTGACAGTGGCTCCGTTCACCGTCCGTAAATGTCTCATGGATGTTCCCCTCCGTCAATTTGACGAGTTTCCATCAACTCCGCCGTTGTGATTAAGTCCACAATTGTTGCTGTGGATGGACCTCGTAATTAGCTGAGTTTTTGAAGGTATCCTTGTGCGATCAAACGTTCAACGTCCCCTTGGCGGACATAAAATTGCGAATTTTTGGTAAGGTTGATGGTACTGCATTGTAATCATGTCAACGAACCTCCATCTAATTGGTGTGCCATTACTTACCCATATTCTGTCTGGATTTCTCCGGCATCCTTGAGGACCCGAACATCAATAAACAAATCTCTGGGAGGCTCAAGACTACCGGTCAGATCAATATCGGTCCAATGTCCTTTGAACGCAGCGAGTAAATCGCTATATTGCCTGACGTATTCTTCCTCTTCCGGGCTTAGACTGCTGGTATTTCCCTCACCATTTCCTAAATCAGTCCCTCCGTTCTGCCCCTCACTTGTAATGCGATGTTGTTGTGCAGCGAGATCCAAAACATCACTGCCATTCCATACCATTTCTTCAAGCTTGTCGGTTCGTGTACGATGATATGCGAGGAGACATCGTTTGTTCCTTCGCATACACAGGTGATCAACGAGGAGAGTGCATGCTGTCGCAGGGTCGGCAGATGGATCAAACGAGCCACCGATGGATTGTAAAATATTCGAAGCGTCTTTGTCTAAGTCTCTAACCTCCCTAGTGACGGCGCGAACCATTTCAGTCTGATATGGAGGAAGATGTTCGAGTTTTTGGGTTCTTTTGGCATGTTGAACCTGATCATTGATTAGAAGAATGGTTCATAGTTGACAGTGGATTGACTGACCAATTTATTCCCTATATCTCCGTACATTCTCAATGATCTGCCTTGTTTAGTTGTGTATCAAATCTCACCCTAGATCTCGCCCTGAGTTTACTTGAGTATCATGTCCTCAGTATCGCGTATCACATATTTGAAGTCGCGTAGAGCAAAATGAACCAATTGACCCCTCCAAAGTTACGGTAGAAAAAAGTGGACCATGATGGCTAAATTAGTTTTACCTTGGAACTTCAAAGTTCAAATGGACTTTCTCCTTCATTTCATATTTTCACCATTTTCATGGTCGTACTATTAGGCAATAATTACCAATGAATAACTGAGCCGTACCAATGAGAAGTTTTTGATTAGGTATATATTCATATCTGGTATTCAAGGTACATCACGATAGAGTGACACAAAGTTGGTACTGGAACGGCAATTTGCATGATACAATGTCTTTGTTAAGGCTCGACTGCCCTCCTTATTAGACAAACCCCTTGTCCACGATTATATCCTCAAACATATACAACACAGCAAGACATGACTAATAACTACATTGGTTCGTGAAAGTTTCACGGGAAGAGCTATTAAATAGGACATGCCCTCATACCAGCTCTACATAGATTTGGCTGGCTATGAGATGCAACGTCCAATCCTATCTACATACATCATGGGGCAGATTTATGTTCTCAGCAATCGCCGAACTTTTCCATACAGAAGGAAATTGACAGAAGATTGAACCACACCAGTACTCCGGGAAATGCACATAACGAAAACCTCCTTCTCCATACCCAATGCATTGAACGAATCCATCCTGTACACGAGCGACCACCCAAACTCCATCAACACATTAGATCATTCTATTCCTCACCAGCTCCCATCCAGTTATCAAACTCTCGACCACTATCCAGTGTTTCAATCTGCCATCCTTCTTGATGTCCTCGCAAAACATCCATCTGTTGATCATGGATTTGTCCTTTGTCGGCATGCTGTTCGGGGAGATATTGAAGAGCGGGATCCATCTCCCTATCATTCATTCCGTACCCAGCTTGCCATGCTTGCTCTGAATCATGATTACTACCAAAATACACTCCATCAGGATGACCTTCATGATAGTTGTTATTCTCGTAATGACCGTGGTCTTGAGTCATCAAAGAAGGATCTATTCTGAAATCTGGCTGAGGCGAGGGTGTATAGTGCGGTTGCGGGTGCATGATATCGAAATCCTGTCCTCCCGGAATACTAACTTGATACGAATGAACACCTGGAGCTGGGGTCTTTTTGATGATGACATCTTCAACGCCGGCTACTAAGGGGTTACTTTGAATGGTCTGCTGATAGTATTCTCCAGGTTGCATACCTGCTTGATTGTACTGAGCAGGAGGCTGCTTTCCCGGGTTCGCAATTTGATACGAGGATTTGTTATAGTTGGCATAATTTGGCTCCATAGAATGTTCGCGCGAAGAGTAGTGGTAAGCAGACCTGGTCGTAGGATACATAACGGGCTGTTGCTGCATGGGTCTCTGTTGGTTGCGAAGATTCCGTCTCTTCTTTGACTGACCTCCTCCTTGCCAATCGAAATCAGTCAAATCAGAATCATCAGAAGCAATGTCTTCAGACATCTTCCTCTTAGCGGCTTTACCAGCACCAGGTTTTGTTGGAGAGAACTTGTATCCCGGATGCGCGTTCTGATGATTGATTCGTTCAATCCTGGCCCATTCACTAAACTGCTCTTTTACAGCATCGGGTTCCAACGGCCAACTATCACCACAGACTTGAGAAACAACTTGATGGTTATTTTGTAGGCACCAATCTTTCGTTCGGTTCTGATACGCTTTGCGATAGAGCATGAAGGAGTTCATTGGTCTCTTGACTTTCCCTGGAACTTTGCCCTCATCTACCTCCCGTCGTCTCTCGTCGGCCGACCTATTCACGTATGTTTCGATATCGGCAACTGGAACATGTTTCCAATCTTTGGTGAGCTCACTCAACGGTTTATCCAATTTTGCCACCTTCTTCTCGGCCTTCACCTTCTCCTTCTTAGCCTTCTTCATTTTTGGCGATTTCTCTGCTCGATGGCGTCCCTCAGGCATGGGTCTCAAAATTTGATGTCCACCTCGTTGAACTGTAAGGCCACTTCTCGTTCTTATCATATCTTGGGATGGAGGAGTGGGCGAACTGGCTGGTGTGCTGTATTGATCCTGATACACGGGTCCCTGAAAATCGTGATACTCCTAATTCCACTATTAGCTTAGGAAGGCAGACACAAGTTGTTCAGCAACTCACATATTGAATTCCTAATCCAGAGTCTTGGTGTTGATGCTGATATGGATAGCTAGTCTGTTGCGGTCTGCGCATGTATTGATCTTCATGCGAAATGGGTGAATCGTAATGTGTCTGCATGTGAATACCTTCATCTGGGTCGTATTTTGGTTGCGGATAAGATGTATTGGCGTTGTGCGCTACCAAATGATGAAGATCGTGTTGGAACATTTCGCTATTCCTTGATGGTGGTGGTGATAAAGTCATGGTTTTTGCTGATAGGAAATTTGGAACTTTTGGTGAAAGAGGCAGTTGTACTTCGGAGAAGTAGGGCCACCGACTTATAAAGAGCTTTCTACCAGTGTAGAATATTCACCATAGATCAGCTTATTGTTGAAGGTGAAAGGCCCGACTTCACAGACTCTATGACAATTCAAGTGAGGTGAATTCTTCTCCAATCTGTTTTCGACAATATTTGTCGGATTGTTGGAGCCCCGCTTTCGACTTGTGTCTGTGGCTCTGTGATGAGATATATGAATTACCTGCTGTTACTTTTGCTATTGTTGATGATGAATGTCTCCCCAACCTCGGACAGAGAAGGATTGTAAGACGCAAGTGAGACCCAAAAGATGTTCCTTTTCAAAGTTCTGGAAATTCCAAAGAAGTTCTTTGGAGAGTAAATGGTTCATCTGAAGTTCCAATACCAGGTTGAGGTCTGAGAAATTGATTCAAGTGGGACCTTTTTCTCTTTCCTCTCAGGACCGTGCAGTATCAAAAAGTTTGGGATGAACCTGTGGCTTCCTGCAGACCGCGCCGTCTTCCCTTCGGAGGCTTATGTTCTGGAACCGTGGTGTCAAGCAAATTAGATGTAGGTGTCCAGTGATGAGTACCCCTGATAGCAATGCAGAGGCTCTAATGTTGCTATGGTATCAAAAAAATTATTATTTTCTTTGTCTTGATGTTGCTGCAGCTGTGCTGAGTTGTTGTTGAAGTAAGCAATGAAATCTGAGCACCATACAACACGATAATCCAGCCGTGCAAGAGTCTTTGTTTTGAAAGGATTAAATGAAGAGAAAGGATTTGATCCGGTCTTTATGTATTCGAGAGATGGGTGTTGATGAAAGCTAGTGAAGAAATTGAGCAAAGAACCGTTTTCAGCCAATCACTGCTTTCGATCACTTTGTATATTTTCATACATTTTCATGAGGACTCTCTACAAACCTGCCAGAAGCACATTTTTTCGATCATGAATTACATTCAATTATTAAAGTATCTCTTCTCTAAATTCGTTGAAAAGGAAAATAAGCATGATATGATGGTTGTATTTGTCTCGGAAATTTATATTATGGATGTTGTATCATGATGTGACCTTTGATTTTTACCACACTACCAATTGCTCAATTCAATTATTCAATTATTCAATCATACCCATCACATTTACAAATAATAAAAAGATTACAGATTACATATCGAGGTAAACCATACAAACAAACATGTTGCGGATACATTGATTCATTTCACGAACAAATGGTAAGTGCACTTCCCCACCAGTTCATGCACATGTAGGTTAGGTACACAGGTAGGTAGGTAGATGACATTTTCGTAATCGCGAATAGATGGATCGATGGATGGATCGATTGCCAAGCTAGTCATAAGTAAGTAGTAGTAAGGACATATTCCAGCGGCAGGCAAAGCAACTTTAACTTCAAATACTTAGGGAGGTAGGTAGAATGGAATGGAGTGGAATTACACAATAGGTCTCTGTGTTTCTCAGTAGTAAGGTTAGTAGCGTAGCGCGGTAGTTTGGATACGGGATTCAAGATGCGGGGAGTGCCGGTAAGTTGCGAGGAATGTACTAGGTAATGTTGGGGGTAGGGTAGAGTCTAGGGCCTGGATCTGGGTGTGGGTGTGGGTAGCAGGTAGGAGGTAGCTTGGATTGGATTGGATTGGATTGGATTGGATTGGGTTCGGTGGTTACACGAAATGGTGGGTTGGTTTGGTTTGGTTTGGTTTGGGGATGAGGGGGGGAGGGAGAGGGAGAGGGAGAGGGAGATGGAATGTGCTGTGGAATGTGGAATGGAGGTTTGGGGTTAGTGGGTTTTGGGTTTTGGGTTTTGGGTTTTGGGTTAGTAGATTAGCGGTTTGTGGCTAGTGGTTAGTGGAGTTGGAGTTCTTTATTGAGCTGGATTGTGGGGGATAGGGATGGGGATGAGGGTGAGGGTGTGGATAATTTTGAAGAATGATGGAGATTTGAATTTATATATACCTTTTCTCTGCGAGGGGGAAGTTAGTTTTGGAACGCGGTTTAGATTGATTGATTGACTGAATGGATGACGGGCTGGCTAGCTGACTGTCGTAATGATTCTTGAGGGAACGCAGTCATAAGAATCATGGATGGATGATGGATGACGGATGACGGATGATGGATGGAAGTTTGATACGTTCTGTGATGAGATGGATAAGGGAACTTCTTCTCGGTGACGAATACCTGGTATACTACCTATATATTTGGGTTGATATTTGAGTATAGAAAGTGTGGTGATGGGATGTATGTACCTACCTAGTAGTATATATCTATATGTGTAGAGCGTGTCGGCCTTGAAGTACTGTACTTCGTTCATCTTTTTTTGATTATTTGTTTCGATCTTTTTATAGTTTATAGTTTACAGTTTGAAATCTACAGTTTGAAATCTACAGTATATAATCTCAATGCTAGAATGATAATAATTTACTGGATATTAGGTAGGTAGGTAGGCAGGTAGCTAGATAGAGAAGTATGGCTACTATGTGGATGTATGTATGTATGTATCTACGTACCCGTAAATAAGGTTACCACCTACCTACCTACCTAGTGAAAGATTAGTTCGCGGCTATCGCTACATATCGGGTGGCTGCATTGGTTTCATTTCATTTTATTTTATTTTCATTTTCATTTTCATTCGGGATACTTGTTTGGTGAGGGATTGTTTCGTTTATTCAGTATTACTAGGTAGGTAGGTAGGTAGGTAGGTACTTATTATTACTGTACTTCCGGTTCGAACTTCGGCTCGGTTCGGTTGCTTGGGTAGAGTGGGGGAGAGAGGATTGGAATGGGTTTGTTTGATTGATTGTAGTCTGTCGGTCTATAAAGATGGAATTGTTTAAGGAAATATTTGAAGGGGATGATTGAAGGGGATGATTGAAGGGGATGATTGAACGAATGAATGTTCTTTTTATTTTTGGAGTCTGTATTTGATGGGTTGGGGAAACAAACTTCGGATGATTGAATGGATGATTGAATGATAGATTAGATTGAAGGGGGTTTGTTTATCTTTAGCCGTTTCCTCTTTCTTTTCTTTTTCTCTTGTAGTATGGATGTCTTTTGGAGTTTCGTAAATGAAAGGAGGAGTTTTATTCATATATTTATTCCTTCATTTATTATTCAAACGTTCATCTATCCACCTGGGCATCTATCCATTCATTCATTGAATAAATATTTTCCACCTCAATATACCTAGGTAGGTAGGGATAAATTGTTGTCGCTGCAGATTGTCGCAATAATACCACACATATAGGTTGGTTGGTGCGTGCTTCGTCTCTGTTCACTCCTGTTTTACATCCACATCCACATTCACGGACCATGACAATTTTCATGCCCAACTATTATGGATCATGGCTGACGGATTGATGAATGGATGGCTGATTGAGTAATAGATGGATTGGCTTGTAGTTGGAAAAGTATCTGTTCTACACGGTTCTTCCTGGAATTGGATATTCGTTGAAACTCACCGAGCGGATGGAACGTGGTGTCTCAAATACTGTAAGGTTATTTCGCTTCCGGGTTTCTCCGGTTGGGGATGACAGTGAGGTTGAGAGGGAGGAGGAGAGGGAGGTGGTTTGTTTGGGTGCGGAGAGTAAAGAGGAAAAGGATGGAGAGAGGAGATTTAACGAGATGAGTGAGTGGATTGTTGTATGTGTGTGTATATGTGAGTGGGTGAGTGGATTGTTGTATGTGTGTGTATATGTGAGTGGGTGAGTAAATTGTTGTGTGTGTGTGTATATGTGAGTGAGTGAGTGGTGGACTGGGGGTAATTTGGAGGGTGTGATATGATTAACCAAGATGCGCAGTGCTACTTAGATGGAGATGGGAGGTAGATTTGCGGGAATGATTGAATACTATTTGGTTGGGAAGATCTCGACTGTCGTTTTACTGTTTCGTTTCTCATTGAGGGGGGAGAGAGGAGTTGGGGAGAAGTGAAGGGAAGTACTGGTATGACGGGATAGATTTGGTGATGAGATGAGAGAGAAGTAAAGGGGTTCACGGCTTGTAAGGGGATATCTTGTGAGCGCAGTATGGTATGGTATGGTATGCTAACGGTATCCCAGGAGGAGAGCAGACGGACTAGCTGACAAATGAGTAGTAGTTACAAGTTACACGACAAAGAGACTTTGCGCCAAGAGAAAAAGAAGATGTGTGAGGGGGAGAAGTGAGAAGAGAAAAGTATGGAATGATAGATTACTCTCCGTAGAGGTTACGGGGACCGCATTCGTATTTCAATATCGCATTTCGATATCAAGATGACGAAAATGAAGCTGTGTCTGTTTCTGTGTATAACTGGATTGGAATCGATGATGAGGAGAGATACATGACGATTGAAGGTTGGAGATTGCAGATTTTGTCAGGGACGCGGTGAGATATCTGGTTTGGGCATTTTCACCATCATCTATAACAAAATCAAAAACTACGGATACCGAAATCAACATACATCTATCTCAGCTTCATCCCGCGTTTGAATGATATTCAAATTTACAAATATACAATACCCGTGGTTGAAACCACATCCACATCATTTGCATCAGCGTTGATGTTGAAAAACGAGCAATATCTGATTCTCTTCCTAGCAGCTGACCTTGAAGAAACTAGGAAACAAAGAAATAGAAGTCCATGTTTACCTTGATTTCTAGTCGCCGAGCTGGAGAGATAGTGAAGTCAAAATCTATTTCCTGCTTTTTGCGGAATCTTGATCTTGGATTAGGGCGAGGAAGGGCGAAAGAACAAGAGGTGATTACTGATATTTTGTTTATTTCATGAATGCAATGGATGAGGTTGCTGGAATGAGGTCGAGATGCATTTAAGTGATTTGCATTGGCAAAAAAGATGTATCTGCCGCACCTTGATTTGATGGGTAAAGATATACCAAGAGATTTGAACTCTCCCACAGCTACGGAGCAGTTGCCAGTGACATTCATATGCCAAGTCACAACACACATGATAGATATCAAGCGCGAAAAGATCGATATGCAACAAGAGATGAGATGAAATGGATAGAGGAATCGTGTTCTAGCGTCAGGAACTGCTGTCATTCTTGTCAGTAGCGGGGGCGGAACAAAGAAGCGTGATGCGCGTGGTTAGAGGGTGGAGTAGACGAGGGTTAGTAGTGGAGTTTACCGTCTCTTAGTTTGGGGAGGGAAGGAAATAGGTATGTTCCGGCTATTTTGGGAGATGTAGATGATATTTTCTTTGTGAGTGAGAATGGGATGAGGAGTAGATTGTGGAATTTTCCGTTGGGTTTATGTTTTTCCAGATCGTAGTTTGCGAACTGCAATCGTGAATTGCGCAATCTGCAAATGCTCTAGATGATCAAGAGGCGAAATGCATATCTTCACCAGATACCTACACATATCGTGACGAATAATACCTAGGTCCGGTCAAGTGTCTAGTTGGGCAATCAATACGGCGTGGATTAGATACATACATGTTGTACATCTAGGTATCTATGTCTTTGTCCATTTCCATGTTTGCGAATCCGCGGTCAATTCAGATATGCAACAAAACTTTTTCACAACTCCTGGTTCTTTGTTTTGGAAATGCTGGGAGACCAATTAGATTGATGGTCAAGAAAAAGTCACTGGATATCATGGGGATCCCATGTTTGCGAATCCGCGGAAATTTCAGATATGCAACAAAATCAATTTCTGGGCTTGTGATTCTTTGTGTCGGAATGGGGGACGGGCCAATTAGATTAGTGGTAAGAAGAAGGCACTGGGTTGAGATGAAAATTGGATAAAGAAAAGGTAGGGAGTTTATCGGGAGAACGAGGTGGAGTACGCGCAAGTGGTATATTTGGAGTTTGGTAGGAAGATTGGCGATGCGAGGAGATCTGGATAGTGGAATTTGCAGGAGTCGTCCAGGTTGGTATATTCCGAGCATGGATGGATGGATAAAGAGAGATGTTCTGGTAAATATTAGCTACTGTAGTGATCAATGGCGATACGAGAGTTCTAGATGGTACGCGGAATTCTCTTGGGTTGTACTACATGTGTTATATATACTTTACATTGCAGATGTTTTTGCATGAGATTTTTGGGGTATTTTCAATTTGACTCGGTTATAAAAGTTTGGCGCAACCTGTGTGTATGTACTACTAATCTTTGTTAAAACCTCAGGTCTTAATACGTGAAAATTGGTCGTTCTGCTGACGATAGTAAAGTAGCACGAGATTGTTACCCCTTTCCCCATATTAATATTACCGAGCCCAACTAACGGTTACCCCAATCACAATAATCTGTCTCATCATGACCTAGCATCAAACCGCCATCCCAAACTTTATACTGATATTCCCCATCCCACTAAACAAGTCCATCCTTCACTCCATAATCCTATTGATCCCTCCATTAGGAAATAACACCAAATCTCCCTTTGTGAGAATTAAAATCCATCAACAAGTAATCTACCCACCGAAAAACAACTCTTTATCCCTATTCCCTACACTTGCCAAGAAAATCCTCATGTATCATTTACAATATACTACACCTAGTACTCAACTTGCCAAGCTCCCATCCTCCCATCACAGCATCACAACATCACAACCTGGACTTGTAGGTCGAAGCTGGAATGAGATATTGAAGCCACCACTGAAAATCCGAAATCAACCGCACATCAAACTGCTAAACTTAAGCAAGAAATCACTATCCTATCCCAAGATCAGAAATTCCCACCAAATTACCTCCCCTTGAAACCAAAATCCAACCTAAACCAGGGCGGTACGCCAAAAACCAAAGAGAGAAAATGCCACGCAGTCCTGCCGGCTACGAAGAAATACGCCCGGGGAAAAAGGGGTTTAATACCTATAATGAGAGTGATAAGAGTGAGACTCATATGCCAATAAAAAGAGGAGAGACGAGTCGAACCCCACTGCGAAATCGTGGATGGGTGCAGATACTTATCGTTGCGTTTTTGTCTCTGATTTTTTTTGGGATGGGGACAGCAGTTGGAAGGAAGTTTCCGAGGGGGGAGAGGAAGTGGGGGATGTTGGGTAAGTTTTTTCAGTTTTGTAATGATGGCTGAGCTTGGGTTTTGCTGTTGGTTAAGTGTGGGAATTGAATGAGTGGATGAGAAGACTGGAGTTTAGAGACTGAAAATTTGCTAATGATGAGAGATATAGCACCTCCAGGATCGATAAAAGAAACTTGGTATCCTAATACTACGTTCTCCATGAAACCGACGCCGGAATCGGAAGCCGCTTGGGGATCTTTAATGCCAGGTTGGTTTCTATATACATGTTTTATCAGCATTCGTTTGAATTATACTAATAACTTTGTAGTGGGCAGAGGATTTATATATCGACCTGAGATAGCACCAATTGTAAAAAGTGTCTCGGTATTCCATCAACTACATTGTCTGGTACTTTCTCCTTCCCTTTTACTCCTTCTCTGTTCCTCTCTTTTCTACCTCTATTCCAGTCGCATATCTAGATTGACACTTCTTTAGCACGGCCTCCGTACCTCCTACTACGATCTACACTATCAACTTGCGCGCGCAGCCGGGGGACCCATCGATCCATTTCTTGAGCAAAAGGCCGCGCATACGCATATAGAGACTGCGCATCAAAAACATTGTTTTGATTATTTGCGACGTGCGATAATGTGTGCAGCGGATACGAATTTGGAATATGTTGATCCAGTTACGGATGATACAACGGGGTGGGGGAGTGAGAGGGTTTGTAGGAGTTTCGAGGATGTAAAGGGATGGGCGGAGAAGTGGGCTAATGGAACAGGTGGAGGGATTGCTTAAGTTGTGGGGTGAATGGATGATGGAGAAGAGGGAATGTAAGAGCAGGGCCTTATAGGGTTTCTGAAATTTATAGAACCATTGTTGTAATGATGGGCATCGGAAAATGCTAAAGATTAAGCGCAATTGGTGACGGGCAATCGCACTTCTATAAATTACCTAGAACAACCCCAGAATAGATGAACGGATACAACAGTAGTTATGCATACGATTAGAGTCTAGATCTCAAACTGGAGATTTATTTTTCCGTGTCCATCTTTGAGTTATCGGAGGCACTTGTCCCCAAGCCAGCAAGGATAAAAGAAAATATACTCAGAAGTCTCGTCATCCATATCGAACAGTATGAAACTTCTTACTATCCATTCTTGCTTATTGACTTTGAAGAGTGGCCACAAGTCCAAGTGAAAAGAAAAGCTTGATGGGGGATCTCACAAGTATTAAGGCGGCATATTATAACCTTTGGGGAAACCGTTGTAGCAGAATTAAGTTTGATGAGGATGCGATAGCAATGGCGAAGAATACTGAGTATGGGCTATCATCAGCCGTGTTTACTCAATATCTGCAAAAAGATTTCGCCATTGCAAACCAATTAGAGTCTGGGCAAGCTTCATATTAGATCCCCACCCTGGTGAGATGATTGCTAATAAAGTTGAACTGTAGAGATGGAAGGCATAAAGATAAGTCATCAAGGTAGATTCAGTACTACTCTCGGCATGGAGGAATTTCTAGTCGTATAAACAGTGGCTTGGGGCGATTGAGACTCCAGAGGTCGGTGGATAATATTGAGACGATGATTAAAGGTATCAACTTCTGGCGCAATGATGTCGCATAACAAGAAGCACACTCGGTTTAGCATCCGTAACCACAGCTCTCAATAATCATCTGGTGATCTATCCACCCATCTTCCTAAGGTTCTCAAGAAGCGTTAAGGAGGAAGGTGGTGTAAGAAGAAGGGAGACCAATTGATGTGATACACATGCAAGTTCGTCTAATGTAGCTCGATGTGCATTCATTCCATCGTTTCATAACACGTCAGAATGATTCTCACACATTAGATTGTCAATATATGAAATATGGGGCGAAATAAGGCTGAAAGGCTGATGAGGTTTATGTAAATAAAATAATACATACGTCTGACATGTGCCGGAGGAACCGAAATTTAGTAGCGACGATCATGTCTCAAGTTCCCCACGTGACCATAAAGTTACCGTTCTTTCCATTTGCATTAGCCACTTTCACTGCATTTAATATTCATGTGTTGCCGAATGCCGTTCAAGTCGAGCAACATTGGTTCATTTTGGTTCGTTTGCATATACACCTTTGTGTCTATCTCCAAACTGGTACTAGGTATGGAGACTCCATGTGCATTATCTGGAAGTCTGTGCCGTATATTTGCTGGACAGATATCACTTGTAACATTGTCTCATATGTTTCAAAGTAGTCGGGTTGGTCTAGCCTGCAATATGAATACGATGGATGATACGACGATATCCTTCTCTTCATTCTTCCATAAACTCCGAACATTCTAATACGAGTTGTCTCTTTATTATAATCTTATTCTGACTTTGGGAACAAGAGGAAGTCCGCACTTTCTCCCAAATGCACAACCACCCCTCCCCTCTCAGCCCCGTACCTTTCTCAGCCACAATAGCCTTGTTTTAAAATAGCATCTTACCCCTGTCGCTTCCAAACCTTACCGTTTGTAGTATAAGTGCAACTGAAGCTCGTGTAAGGAATTGGTTACAGAAGCCATTTCAAAAAGTCAACCGCAATCTTTGATATTCAAGAAAAACAGAATAATTCAAAGTATACGACGTAATCGAGGAACACGGAATCTAAGGTCTTCCAGACTGCCAACGAATTGAAAGAAAAGCGATACGATCCTAGCGATTATGATAACGACTTGAAGATTAAAACGATCCGCTCCACGCGTTGGTCCCTGGGGAAATCTTGCGAACTACTACGTTGCGATTGCGATTACAGATTTTTGCAACGGCACACTCGAAAATATATACGGATAATTGGCTGGCTTTCTGAACACGGAGATTAGGCACAATGCCTCCAAATAACACCAATGGTTCCAATAATTTATCGAGCCCTCCTCAATCGATACCTTTACGAGATCTAACACGGCCACCTGATTCTGCAGATTTGGGAGATGGATCGCGGCGGCACACACGAGGGAGGAGTCTTTTGGCAGGGGGAGGTCTTCGTCCGACGGGAAGTCTAAATGCTGGTACTGGGTATGAAAGGCTAGGGGATTCTTCTCCCAGTCCAGGAGGGAGACCGGATCGAACAGGTAGCTCAGCGATACCTCTGACACTACAGTCTACGATTGGGGAAAGGCACGAAAATGAAATAGAAACCCCTACATCGCTTGTGGGAAACCCTGCAGATTTTCAAGCAGCAATGGGATTCGCTGGTCTAAATGTACCGGATATCAGTTTATCTCATGCTCCGCGAGAAAGGTCCATGTCTTTTGGATCTCAGCACTCTCTCACACCTTATGCGCACTCTTATGGGGACATGGGAGATAACGACAATTCATATTTTCCCTCCGATTCTGACCAGATACCTTTGACGGATTCGAACCATCTGCAGCCCATGGGTGGGACACAACCCACTACTCCAGATGGGCAGCGACATGATAGGTCTAGCTTTCAATCTATCAATTTCAACTCACCAAGTTCAAACTACAGAGGGTCTAGACTAGGTGATGATCTTCCTAATGCGGAAGCAGGTTACTCATCATATGGTACAAGGTCAAGGTCGCAAAGTTATGGAGCTAACCTGTCACCCAGTGGACGCAGATCTAGATCTCCATCTACTGTGGGGGCTCTATCCAGAGCTGGGTCGATGATGAGGGCTATGTCGCAACGTGTGGTTAATCTGAGTGGTGAAGCCGAGGTCATCGAAGAAAGCGCTAGGAGACAAGCGCACAGTATTGAGGAACCATTTTTCCCTTCGCGGAGATCATACGAACCGAATGTCGAAGATACAGCTTACCGGCCGAATACGATGTTTCCTCCATTTGAGAAACCCCCGTCAAGGACTTTGGATGGACCTGGAACGGATCAATGGCAGGCACAGAATCCTCCTAACCCTCTCAGAGGAAAAACACTAGGAATCTTTTCACCGGAAAACAAGCTTCGGCTAAAACTTTGCGATTTTCTGGTTTATCCTATCACTGAACCAGCAATTCTCATATTGATTGTTATACAAACAATTCTCCTTGCGATAGATGCGGCTCCTTCTGTTTATACTCACCCTCGGCGCCCTGGATGGGGCTCTAAAACCGACTGGGCTTTACTGGGCCTCTTTATAATTTTCACGCTGGAAGTGATTGCACGTATTATTGTGTCCGGTTTCATTATTAATGCAGCCGAATACAGTACAATAGACCGGCAACGTGGAGCCAGGGCAGCAATCGTGGACAAGTACCGATCGATATTTGCACCTCAGCGAAAATCATCTGTCAGAAGAGCCCAAACATCATCTTCCGAGGAAACCACCAATACACAAATGCCTATCGTCAATACCTTCGCTCAAATGCAAGCAATGACCAGCACTGTCGAGCAAGCCCAGCGATTGCAACTAGCTAGGAGAGCTTTTCTCAGACATTCTTTCAATCGACTCGATTTCGTCGCAGTCGTATCTTACTGGGCAGCGTTTGCCATCAGTTTTCTTGGAGTAGAGCACGGCTATCATCTTTACCTATTTCGCATGTTAAGCTGTTTACGTATTCTTCGATTACTTGCCCTTACAAACGGTACTGCTGTAAGCCTTACGTTGCTCTCGCTTTCATGTGCACTTCTAACATAGCATCTAGATAATTCTTCGAAGTTTGAAAAAAGCGACTCCATTGCTACTCAATGTTTCCTTTCTTATTGGATTCTTCTGGCTGTTGTTTGCTATCATCGGTATACAAAGTTTCAAAGGAAGTCTTGATCGTCAATGCGTATGGATCGACCCTGACGACATCCAAAATGCGCAAAATACTGCATTCGTTAATAGCAACCAATACTGCGGAGGACAGTTTAACAAGGACAACTCGTCTCATGATCCCTGGATGAAATCAACCGATGTGAACAATCCTTTCTACCCTTTAGACTTTGGAGCCACTTCGTCCAAAGGTTACTTGTGCCCCGAGGGATCTTATTGTCTTCAACTGCCTCCTGATCAACTTCCTTTCAATGGAACTGTCAGTTTTGATAACATTGCACAGTCTTTGGAACTCGTGTTCGTTATTATGACAGGTAACACGTTTACAGATCTCATGTATTACACCACAGATTCAGACTATCTCGCCGCCGCAATCTTCTTCGCAGGAGGAATTGTTATTATGATGCTTTGGCTTATGAACTTGCTGATAGCCGTCATTACTTCATCTTTTCAGGTTATCAGAGGAGAAGGCAAAACAAGTGCATTCGCTGCCCATGCTGATGATGATCATCCCGATCCAAATGTAAACATGCCACGACAGGTGAGCAAGCTAAAACAGATGTACGATAAAACATATTGGCTCTGGATCGCTATTATTGTCTATGATCTCATAGCTCAAGCTTTCCGGAGTTCCGACATGACGGATTCTCGCTCAAGATTCATCGATCTTTCGGAGGTGGCGGTAACATTTTTGTTGTTAATCGACATCGGTTTGCGATTTGCCTCCGATTGGCGGGATTTCCACAAGCACAAGAGAAATTTATTTGACTTGGGACTTGCGATCATTACCACGGTGATTTTATTGCCACCCATTCGAAATTCAGGTCAACCTTATGCTTGGCTTACCGCATTCCAGATTCTCAGAATCTATCGGGTTGTCATGGGTGTCGAGATCACGCGATCCTTGATCATGTTGGTGTTGGGAAATGCAAGTGGTATTGGAAACCTTGTACTCTTCGTCTTTCTTATCACTTTCTTGGTTGCGATATTCGCAGTTCAGCTGTTTCGCGGCGAGATCCCCTCACATGATGACTCTGGAGAATATATACAAGTCAATTTCTCTACGATTTTCAATTCTTTCTTGGGTTTGTATCAAATTCTATCGAGCGAGAATTGGACCACACTTCTTTATAATGTTACCGGCATTGATAAGTCACGAAACACTGCTTGGATTGGTGCAGCATTCTTCATTGGATGGTTTATTCTCGCCAACTTTATTCTGGTGAATATGTTCATAGCTGTCATTCAAGAAAATTTCGATGTTTCAGAGGACGAAAAACGCATGCAACAAGTGAAGGCTTTCCTGACCAGGAAAGAGGTCGATACCTCTTCTAGCAATCTCGCATTATCGTCTATCGTTCGATTTGGTCGCTCCAAAGCGAAAAAAGACCCCCTCGATTATGGGCCGGCAACCATGGAGATGCTATTGAAAGATGCGGTTGTCAAGGACTTTCTCGATGATGAAATCGTTCCGGGACAGCACGAACACAATGCGGAAAATGCTGCTGCAGAGGCAGCTGGTGTAAAGCCTGGATACTTATCCTCCGTCTGGGGTAATTTCGTGTCTAAAATCTGGAACAGGGAACCAAATCCCTTTTATTCCAACATATCGTTTTCTCTCAAGACCGATGACTCTAAAGGTACCCGGGCAATGGCAAAAGAAGCTGTCTCAGCCTCATCTCAGCGCAAGAAAGCACAGCGTGAATACTTGGCAAAACACCCATCTTACAATAATGCCTTATTCATTTTTAAACCTAATAGCCCTATCAGAAGGCTTTGTCAAAGATGCGTAGGGCCTGGGCGTGGAAGCGAACGTTTTGATGGTGTTGAGCCTGATTTGACCATTTGGTATGGCTTTTCGGCATTCCTGTACCTCTGCATTGTCGCAATGGTCTTGTTGGCATGTATAACCACACCTCTGTACCAAAGAGAATACTTCATAGCCAATCCTGAGAAATCAACCGGTAATAATTGGTTCGTCTTTTGCGATTTCATCTTTGGGATCATTTTCACCGTCGAAGCTCTCATAAAAGTCATTGCAGATGGGTTCTTCTGGACTCCAAACGCATACTATAGAAGTACATGGGGTTTCATCGATGGTCTAGTGCTTATTACCTTGTGGATCAATGTCATCACTTCATTGATGGACGATGGAGCAATTGCACGAGCAGTTGGAGCTTTCAAAGCCTTGCGAGCTCTCCGATTGCTCAATGTCAGTGATAGTGCAAGAAATACATTCCACTCTGTGATTCTTGTCGGTGGATTTAAAGTTCTTTCGGTACGGAATCTGTTTCCATGTTGTTTAATGCTTCTGCTAACATGCTAATAGGCGGCCTTCGTTTCCATGTCCCTCTTAATTCCTTTTGCAATTTATGGGGTAAACCTTTTCAACGGCCAGTTGGAGGCGTGCAATGATGGCGACATCACTAATTTGACCGATTGTTCTGGTGAATTCTACAATCAGCCGTTTAGTGGTGATTGGAACATTGTTTCACCTAGACAAGTTGGAAATCCCTGGTACGATTTCGATAATTTCGGAGGCTCCTTATTCATCCTTTTTCAAATCGTATCCCAAGAAGGTTGGGTCGACGTAATGTTTCAGTCAATGTCCATTACTGGCCGTGGTCTTAATCCGGGTGATCCTACATCGCGCGAGTTCAATGCAGTCTTCTTCGTCCTTTTCAACCTTCTTGCCACGGTCTTCATCCTTACTTTGTTCATCTCTGTGTTCATGCGAAATTACACGGAACAAACGGGAATCGCATTTTTGACATCTGATCAGAGATCTTGGGTGGAGTTGCGTAAACTTTTAAGGCAGGTTTCTCCATCTAAACGGCCTTCCCAGAAAGATCCACGTTGGTGGAAAGACTGGTGTTACAAGAGAGCCACTCGAAAGCATGGAAAGTGGCATTCAGCTATGACCTTAACTCTTGTCTTCCATCTCATCCTATTGTTAGTGGAATTTTACCCCGAGCCACTATGGTGGGATAGAACTAGAGATTATATATTCTTGGCTTGCACAGTTTTCTACATTCTCAACATTTTTGTTCGTATAACTGGTCTGAGCTGGGCTCGATTTAAACGAAGTTCATGGGATGTTTTCTCGATTCTTGCAGTCTTCGGTACACTGGTCACGACAATCCTCCTTCTCACCAACTTCAAATCTCAAGTTTATGTTCAACTACACAAGTTATTTCTTGTTTCTATCGTTCTACTCTTGATTCCCCGAAATGATGCTCTGGATCAGCTATTCAAAACTGCAGCTGCTAGTTTGACAGCCATTGGAAATTTGTTGGCAACTTGGTTTGTCCTGTTTATGGTCTTTGCTATCGCTATGACTCAAACCTTTGGACTCACTCGATTTGGTGAACAAGAAACCGACAATCTCAACATGCGAACAGTACCGAAAACGCTTCTAATGCTATTTCGTATGTCCTGTGGAGAGGGTTGGAATCAAATCATGGAAGACTATGCGACTATCACACCTCCATTCTGTACTCAAGGTGCCGATTTCTTTGATAGCGACTGCGGAAGCCCTACATGGGCTCGAGTATTATTCATTTCGTGGAACATTGTGAGCATGTATATCTTCACTAGTTTATTTGTGTCGCTCATCTACGAGAGTTTCAGTTATGTCTTCCAACGATCCAATGGCTTATCTAAAGTTAGTCGTGATGAGATCAGACGCTTCAAAGAGGCTTGGGCTACGTTAGATCCGGATGGTACAGGATTTATCGAAAAGGAACATTTCCCAAGACTTCTGGGTGAACTCTCTGGTGTCTTTGAGATGCGTGTATATTCACATGAAGATTCGGTTCGCAGAATTCTCGAAGATATACAAACGGAACCAAGCAGTGGTAGAATGAATTCTATTTCAAGCCCCAGCGCTTCTAATGGTATTGATTTGAAGAGATTGAATGAAAGAATTTCTCAAATTGATGCCGGTAGAGTCAGAAGAGACAGAGCGAGATTTAATCTTTTCTATGAAGAGGTTTTAGTCTCGGCAGATCCTGATCGGGGTATTTCTTTTACGACAGTATTGATGGTTTTAGCTCACTATAATGTTATCAGTGACAATAAGAGCTTGAAGTAAGTTATTTGGGTGATTTTTGGTACTTAGCTAATGATTGATATAGACTTGAAGAATTTTTACGTCGCCGCGCACGTCTTCAAAGAGTGGAAGAAGAAGTCCGAAGACGAATTGTGGTTGGATTCTTCGATACTATGTAAGTTTTTGAAATTTCTATTCGTGCATATGTTTTAATTTACTAACAAGCATAGGTACTGGTCCCGAAGATTCCGCAAACACATGGAAAGGAAAAGGTCTGGCCGAATGACGGATATTCCTCAATTGGGCCCCGAAGTTTACGTCGACGACGAAGATTCATCTACCCAGAAACATAAATCAACTGCTTCAGGAAGCGGAGCTTTACTTTCACCAACAGATATTACGGATTCGAGAAATTCGTTTATTACCCATGGACTTGATGGGGCACCACTTAGACAGAGAAGAGGAACGGATGCGGATATTGGACTGGGTTTGAATACTTCGTTCCCTTCAGTAAGCTCTGCAGTGAGTCCAACTTTGAGTCCGCTGAAAGCGCATGGACCGCGTGGATCGACATTTTCGTTTGAAGGGGTGGGTGTAGGAGCTGGTGATGGGAGTGCAATTAATAGCACGGCAAGCAGTAGAAGGAATAGTGCGGTATCTGCGGAGAACGTCTTGGAAGTGTTGGATAATTCAGCATGGGGAGAGAGTATCAGGAGGAGTTTCACTACAAGGAGAAGTAGTAAGGGTGGGAATTAGGGGTTGAGAGGAGTGTTTATGTATTATTGAGGAGAAGGAGAATACATACACTGTAAAGGATTATGTATGGAGTTGCGGGCTTAAGCGAATCAAAAGGAAAACAGAAGGGTCTAAATGAGTTAGGCATTGGATATATAGGTACTCTGGTTGGGGATGAGAGGCGTATGGAGGGAGGAGTTTTATTGGAATCGGAATTGAAGATAGATGGACTTGGATCTTGTTTTCCTCGTTCACTTGTTCACTTTGTTGTAATATGAGGGGAATGAGATGAGGATATGTTTCCTTCTTGCTTGTATTTGTTTATTGGTGTGTTATAGGAGGGAGGGAAGGAAGGAAGGAAGGAAGGAAGGAAGGAAAGGAAAGGAAAGGGAGGGAGAAAAATGCAGTGAGAGGTGGATATATGTTTGCATAGCTTATGGCGTTGAGCGATTACTTTTTACCTGTTTGTCTTTTCACCACCGTTTTTTATGATAAATGTTATGGTTGATAGATTGGGGGTTGGGGGTGGCGAGTGAGGAGTGAGGAGAGTGAGTGAGTGGGTATATAGTGTATTGAAAGGGATAGATCGATCGATAGATAGACAGATGGGATGGGAGTATATACATATGTATGTGTAAACGATAAATCGAATCGAATCGAAGTGCAGTGAAATAACAAGTGAGATTCAACAGATCTCTGGTTATTTTAATTTTATGATAACATGATGTGTTGTATTGTGAGCAGAGGATTTTTACATTAGTGTTAGCTCAGGGGTTAGATCACCAGTGGGTGCACGGACTCACGGGACAACGTGACAGGAACGCACAATTTCATACCAAAATAAGTGATTTTAATAATTTGATTAAAATTCGATTTACTATTAAATCTTTTTGAAATTGAAGTATATAGTTTTTCAAATATAAAAGAATAATCCATCTGAAAATGATCTAAATAAATCGAGATTTGAGTTCAAAAAACGAATAGTGTATTTTCTAATCAAAAATTTTAATCGAGAATTATATATTCTTTTATAAAAATATCAATATTGAGTTTTTCAATTCAATTTTGAGATTGTATAAAATGTTGATGCTTCAGACTTATATCTCTAATTTTCAAATAAATTTTTTAAAATTTTGAATTTTAATTGAATTATCAAAGCAGCTCTTTTTGATATGAAATTATACTTTCCCTCTTTAGTGTCCCGTGAGTCCGTGCACCCACTAATGGATAACAAATTTCAAAATAAATTTTTAATCTCTAAATTATATAATTTGTTTTAATAAAAAACTGAAGGAAATATCTAATATTGTTTAAATTCATTTATTAATTTAAAATAATGTTTCCCAAAAGAAATACCCGACGTTCTGCTACCTCATAGTTAAATATTAAATCATATTTAATAATATAAACAAGGTATCGGCATATTGATTAAATTCGTTAAATTTTCGATACAACTATTAATTTAAAGTTTTGTTTACTAATAAATATTTATATTTAACTATCTAGGTATCTATCTACAAGTCCCTTTTTTCCTTTTTCGGCAACTATAATATAATATTCTTGAATGCTCTCGTATTCATCATAGTTGTGAGTTTTTTCTTTTCAGGGGAGGTCCGGATGATGAGAAATAGAAATCTCGCTTAAGGTGCTGGAACACGAGAGATGAACAACCATTTAAGTCACAATCGAGCCTTGCGATCCCGACAAACACTGAAGTTGATACTCATACTGAAGACGAGACAACGAAGACAGAGAAGCCTCTAGTGCCGCATCGGCATCAAACTCGTGTTTTGAAGACCAGAAGGCTGCTGTTTGTATTTGTGTCTGTGGAGTAGGAGTAGATGCATATGTATCCGTATTCATATCTCGATCCCTATCCATCATCGTTGCAAAATCCGGATATTCCGCCTCGGCACGCGCCATTCGCAATTTGAATTTAGGCGTGGATTTCTCGGCATCGTCGTACAGAGAATCTTCCATGTCCAGCGAGGATCGGGCGTCATCGTTATCGTCGTCGTTGTTGGTGGGATAGCGGTATCGGTATGTATTCCCATTTTCGTTGCGATTCTCGGGCATCGTGATGAGTGGATTTTCAGGGGTAGTAGCGGGATTCGTCTTGGGCTTGGGTCGCATGTGCATATATGCGAAATCACTTTCTTGGAGTGGTTTTCTGGGTGTGAGAATGAATTCACTGAGTGTTTCTTCAATATCTGTTCCTAGATTCGCTTGGTTTTGGCTTTCGAGTTTTATGGTTTCGTCGGAAGATTCTTGTTGGTTGTCTGAATTGGAATTTGCTGCGATTGTGCTACTATTCTTTAAAGAAGAATTCGATGAGAATGTGGGAGTAATCTCAGTTGATGATTTCTTCTGTGGTTGTTGTTTGCCGAGTTGATGTTGCAATTGTATTTGCGCCTTCTTCTGACCCTGTTTTCTCCTGGATGCAAAACGGGAAAGAGAAGACGACGAGGAAGGAGAAGTATAAATAGGCGAAGAAGTGTAAATCTCCACCATCGAGTCCTGAGATTCGGTATGAATCAACCTATGACGATGTTGATCATTTTCCCAATATTTACCGGAGCCGGGACCGGAGTGTGCGTCGGTGAATACATCGGATTCATCGTATATCTCCATATTATCGTGCTCGGTCTCATCCCCCTCATCGTCATCTTCATCATTAAATATACCCATATAACTCTCTGCTCCGACAAATCTATTGCCATTCTCCTGTCCTGTAATTTTAGTAACCTCCCCATCGCATTTCGAAAGATGCATACTATCCAGCATGTCCTTACAAGATTGATGTATAGATTTCCAGGTCTTCTGATTTTGCTTCTTCAGAATCATCCTCCCTCTTCCTCTTCCACTTCTGCTCTTGACACCTCCCTGATTTCTATCCCCTGTACCTCTCATATCTCCAACCCCCTCATTCTCATCCTCATAAGTCCCCTTCATCCGCTCACTACCATATCTCCCACTTCCCCTCCCAAACCCAAACAACAACTCCCCACCCAATACCTCCCCAAAAGGCGATTCCATCGGCGGTGTATCCGGGCCCACAAATCGCCCCTCTACCCTCGAAATAAGATATTCCGCATGCTGTGCTGATGGTCCCGAGAGCGGATTCGTATCCAAATCGCCTACAGCACGACAAGGCAAGGGCTTCGCTGGTTTGCCATTGGGACTGGATAATTTGGGCATTGGGATTGCGGCTGAGATATCATTCATCTGGTTTGAGTGATTGAAGTAGTTTGTATGATCGCCATGAAGAATATAATCATGGTACTCATCTCTCCCAAACTCAGTCTCAGCCTCAACTCCTTCATCTGCATGCGCAACAGATACATTTTTCCTCGAATGAAGGTTTAGATTCTTCAGGGGAAAGTTCGTCGCAAGACCCATGTTGAGATTTGAGAGGAAGGATCTGCTATGTGAGGTATTCCATAGATTGCGCATTTTAGATGTGAGATTTGAGGTTGGGGTGGGGCTGCTAGGAGCGCTGGAGTTAGAACTAGAGGATGGTGAGGATTGGGCGGAGGAGGATGACGAGGATCGTTGGGGTGGTGGATTGTGAATTGTAGAGTTGTGGCTTGTTTTTAATGGTCTTGGTCTTGGTGTTGGTGATGTTGGAAACGATGGTTTTGAAATATCTCTCTGCTCGAACGGAATCCGCGGGTTTTGACGTGGGGTTTCCGGACTCGCCATAATGTGGTTGAGAGATGATGTTTAGAAGATGTTGGATGTTGGATGTGTATGTAGATAGGTATTTTGTATTTCCTTTATCAATTTTGAAGTGATGTTTTAGATTCTTGATGTATATGTATATCAAGATATCCAGAAGTTTCTCAAGAGTGTGAGGTCGTGAGATGTGTGTTTGATGAATAGATGATCTTGGATATGAAGATGAATGTGAGTAAATTTAGAATAAAATCCAAAATCCGAATATGCTTTCCAACACAACGTCAACTGCGAAACTTATATACTTTCCCTCCCAAACAAAACACTTTGTTTCCTACGGCTGTACGGTTCTATCTTATAGAACCCTCAAGAACAGCCGTATATATCTATACAAAATGAAATAGAGAGAACCGATCCTATCCGTGAATCCCCAAGTCCGGTATTATTGTACAGTAAACTTATTGATGAACGTCCGTGTTGTCTATATCTGAATATATGAGATGTAGATGATTAATCACCAAAACGTAGCCGTGCAGTGATTGGAGTTGCGGCTAGCTTACTTGCTACGGCATGCCAATCATTTTAGATGTAATTGAAGTTATGTAAAGAAGAGAAAGGAGAGGGAATCAATACGTCTTGATACAGTATAGATGGCGTACCTGCAAGAATATATTAATGAATAATAATAAAATAAACAAAATACAGCGGTGCGGTTTACTCGACTACAGCCCACCAAATTCAAAATCAATTCCAATCACTCCAGACAAAAAAAGGCGAAAAAAGTGAATAGAATCAAGTGAACCTATATCTAGATCCCGAAACAGCACTGATGACGTAATTACAGAAATGCATTAGTGAATAATACTAACAATCAACAACTAATATCAACCATAGCTGTACAGCGACTAGAAAAGCATTTATTTACTCGCTCGCTACAGCACCAATTCCAACACCATCTCCAATCACTCCAGAATCCAGACGAAATACAGCTAAAGAGTGAATAAATCCAAGAACTTGATACACAGATTTCAAAACAATATAGATGGTGATGCACCAACCTATTTAGATACGATATTCAATACGATATATAATACAACAATATACAACACCGTATAAAACAAAGCGAAGCAAAAAAAAAGTTTATAAAGCAAATTTTTTTTATGAAATAGAAAACCTCTCGTGAGAATAGAATATTGAATATGGGATATGATATAATAATATCGCACTATACGATACAATACAACACATAGATCTGAGTATTCATCCAATCTCATCTATCCATCTCCTCATTTATTCATGTTGTTTTCTCGGGGTATCTACTTCGGTGCTTTGGGTGGTAGATTTAT